CATCCTAGCCTTGAACTCGTTGGGCCAGTCCACCAGCGTAGGGCTGCTGCTGGGTGACGAAAGGCAGCAAGGCCTATGCTTTAAATGGCCAAGAGGGCGAGGAAGCATCCCGCCATGGTGGAAGCTCACTTCTTTTGTTACATGGCCATGGCTCTTCCCTCTATCTATCTGCTTACCAGGGAGTCTATCTGTCTCCTAGTCTAGGAGTTTGGGAGCTTCCCACCTTCCTGGGTATTGTCTTCTGCTGCTTTCTATAGTTTTTTCTTAAGTCTTTGCTCTTTATCCCTACATGCGTGATCTGAGATGTTCACAAAGCCAGAAATCCTTCATCTGAGGCTCATCTGTTGGCAAACCCCTGTGTGGTGGTTTAAATGAATTGTCCCCATCATCTCAGGCATTTGGATGCTTGGTCCTGGGCTGGTAGTGCTGTTTGGGGGAGGTCTAGCAGGCCTGGCCTTCTTGAGGGAAGTGTGTCACTTGAGAGTTAAAAGACTTGCCCAATTGCTAGTTTCTCTCTGATTCAAGCTTGGCATTTAAGATGTGAACCCTCAGCTTCTGTTCCAGCTACCACATCTGCAGCCTATTCCAATGCTTTTCTTCAAATTTTTTTTTAATTTAAAGTAGAAACAAGCTTATATTACATGTCAATCCCAGTTCCCTCTCCCTCTCCTCCTCCCCTGCTTCCCACCAACCCTTTAACCCATGCCCTTTCTGCTCCCCAGGGAGGGTAAGGTCTTCCATGGGGGATCCTCAAAGTCTGTCTTATCATTTGGAGCAAGGCCTAGGCCCTCTTCCATGTGCCTCAGCTGAGACAGCATCCCTCTATGTGAGATGGACTCCCAAAGTCAATTCATATACTAGAGATAAGTACTGATCCACTGCCAGAGGCTCCATAGATTGCCCAGGCCCCCTAACTGACACCCACGATCATGGGGTCTGGGTGGGTACTATGCCTGTTTTCCAGCTATCAGTGTGAGGTCTATGACTTCCCCCTTGTTCAGGTCAACTGTTTCTGTGGTTTTTTCCAGCCTGGTCTTGACCCCTTTGCTCATCACTCCTCCCTCTCTGAAACTGGATTCCAGGAGTTTGGCTCAGTGCTTAGCTTGTGTGTCTGCTTCTGCTTCCATGAGCTGCTGGATGAAGGCTCTAGGATGGCATATAAGGTAGTCATCAGTCTCATTATCGGGGAAGGATTTTTTTCCCTTGGGAACCATGAACCCAAACCTAAACTGTGGAGGTGTCTCTCTCGCTCCCTCTAGTGCCTGCCTGCTAAACTACCCATCTTCTAAAACTGCCCTTATGGCTGATTTTATTTTATTCTATTCTAATTTATTTTATCCTATTTTATTTTATGTCATCATTTCCACAGGATATGTGTGGTTCTCTGGAGCTCCAGTAGTGCATGTGAAACAAAACCCAGGCCCTAGAGCAGCCCCTGAACAGTCTGGAATGTTGGAAGTTTTTTTGAAATTTTCTGCTTCCCTCTCCAGGCAAAAGCTGCAGGCTGGCAGTTTGCCGAGTCCTGCTCTCTGAGCCATGGGAGGATTCTGAGGGAGAGGTGCCGGGAGTGCTCCTGGGAGCCCTGGTGTGCCAGTTCCACAACTGTCAGGGGTGCAAGTACCTCTCAGCTGCTTTCTGTGTCTCTCAAACATGTAGTTAGCATGTGTATTGATATTACATTGACTTCTGGAGGGGGACCCGGGCTCAGAATTGCAGCATCATTCTGGTGTCACTCTCTGATTGGTCAACTTTAATCCCTTCACAGGTCCCAGGCCTTGATAAAGGACTGTCACCATTTGGCTTTGTTTCCTAACTGTCTTAATCTACTTTCTCCCCGGGTTTCTCCATTACTACTTCTACATGCACACTTCGTTTTGTTTTAGTTTTTTCATTGTTTTGGTTGCCTTTCAGGGCTTTCCCCCCATATTTTCAAAGGCATGTTTTTCGTACCACTCCAATTTATGTATTGTACACTTGCAGGCTGGTATGGATCATTGTGTAGAACAGCAGCTCATCTTCGTACAGAGCACGTGCACTTTATCCCCACATTGTGGTGTCCTGCCTGCTGTGATGCTCCTGAAGATGCCAATAATTTACTCCTTAGGAGATTCATGGACTGGCAAGATGGCTCAGCAGATAAAGGTACTTCTCACCAAGCCCAGTGACCACAGTTTAATTCCCAGGAACCACACAATGGAAGGCAAAAAATGGCCCCTGCAAGTTAATCTCTGACTCCACACACAAGAGGTGTGCACCCCTCTCCAGTAAATAAATAATGTTCAACTCTAATCTCCCTGACATTTAATGGAGCCTCAACTGGCCACATCTCCAGGCAGTGGGACTAAAAGCTTAGTTGACTCTCAAACTGTAGAATCCACAACCCTTGTGTATGTGTCTTTGTCGCTGGCTAAGAAACTGTGCTGTCTGCATGCCTGACTTCTTCCAGCCCTCAGGTGCCCCGGAACTCTCTGCAAAGAATCCTAGTAACATAATTATTAAGGAACACCAGTTGTATACACTAGTGGGACTTACTGTTACCCTTCTGTACACGGATGTGTCACGCATTGATCATGCTCCTCTTTGCTCGTAACCTTTCTTCCCCTTCTGATTTCCTCCCTCTTCCTAATCCCTTACACCTCCTCTTCTTTTGGAATGTCTTCATTAATTTCTTTTAATTTCCACATGTGAGAGAACTGGATTGTTTCACGTAACATGATAAACTCCAGTTCTGTCCATTTTCCGGATAATGACAAGATTTCAGTCTTGTTTACACTTGGGAAATAATTCCTCTATGTGTGACATTAATTTTATTTCTCTGTTCATCCACTAACTGTGTGACAAATTACTCTTTGCTGATATTGACCAACCTGCATCTTCTTTCCCTTGCAGCCCTCATGACTTGGATTTGGTGCAAAAAGCTGGCAAAAGGGCCTAATGCTGAAACAGAGGAGTGCCCAAGCCCAACCAGTGTAAGTGTCTTGTTCCTGTAGGAGCTGCCTGTAATGCCAGATTCAGGAAGTGAAGACAGGAAAATCCATGAAGCAAGGTTGGTAGCTAGACTAACAGAATTGGACAGCTCTGGGATTCAGTTGTCAGACCTTGCCTCAATGAACAAGGTGGAGAGTGTTTGAGGAAGACATCTGACATCAGGGTCAAGTCTCCCTACACATGCACATGTGCACACACCACACACACACACACACACACACACACACACACACACACACAATACAGAGTGAGAGAGAGAGAGAGAGAGACATAAGGTTGACTACATGGAAGGTATTCATCCTTCCTGCTCATCTAGGTCAACTCACATGCAGACATAATCCAGAGAAGCAACACAGGCAGCAAAGCCCAGACTATATGACTTGGGAGATGAGCACAGTTCCTCAGGGAAGACGGCAGGGCAGGACCTGACCAGGCACAGTAGAAAGAGAAACCCCTTCTGCAAGCTCATGGTACCCATCTCAAAGGCAGGAGTATTTCCTCAAATGACCAAATACGTCAGATTCTTACTAGAAGTGGAGCTCGTTCCACCAGAAAAATGGTGTGAAGGATGGTTTTGGGTGATTGTAGGCGAGTTTGGCTTCTTATGAACATATCAGTCAAAGAACTTCTGAGTGTTCAACAAATCCTATTTTCCGCTCTTGGGAACACAAGTGGACTGCATTTACCATTCTCATAAAAAAAAGGCAGAATCATATGATTACACGGTTACCAACAGAATGTAGACAAATGGTAACTAAAACAAATGACAAACTTCAGTTCTAGACGTAGCCCCATAAACCTTAACAGGAGGGGCTGGAGAGGTGTCTTAGTGGTTAGAGGTCACACTACTCTTCCAGAACACTGGAGTTGACCTCCAGTGCCAATGTTAGGTGTCTTACAACACCCTGAACTCCAGCTCCACCAGATCTGAAACCTCTGACCTCCACAGACACCCACACTCACACACATATACATCCATGCATACATGTATACATGCATGCATATACATAATTAAAAGGAAATTAAATGTGGTGATATTTTGTTTATGATACAATAAATAAAGATTGCCTGAAGATCAGAGTGCAAAGCCAGCCACACTAGTTAGCCCTAGAGGCCAGGCAGTGGTGGCACACACTTTAATCCTACCACTAGGGAGACAGATCAGATGTATCTCTGTTAGTTTAAGGCCATCCTGAGCTACATTAAATCGATCCAGTCTAAAAGAAAAACAGAGATACACAAAGGTGGTCTCAGCACTTGGGATCCCACGCCTTTATTCCCAGCACTAGAGAGGAATATAAGGCAGGAGGAGACAGCAGCTCCGTGCAGTCTGAGGAACACTGCAACCAGGAGTGGTCTGAGGACAGGATCCGCCCTTCTGTCTGACCATGGGTAGAGGTGAGAATTCTCTAGTGACTGGCTGCTCCGCTTCTCTGATCTTCAGCTTTCACCACAGTATCTGTTTCTAGGTTTTTTTTGATTTTTTGTTTTTGTTTTACGAGACAGGGTTTCTCTGTATTGTTTTGGAGGCTGTCGGTCCAGCCCGGCCTCGAACTCACAGAGATCCACCTGCCTCTGCCTCCCGAGTGCTGGGATTAAAGGCGTGCGCTACCACTGCCCGGCTGTTTCTAGGTTTTTATTATTATGACCAAATAGAATTTGTGCTATATAAAAACTTCTTATGAATCCCCCTACGACGTTACTTCTCCTATCTGCAGGCAGAGAACCATCAGATGAGGTCCTGGGAGGTGACAGCTACAGATGGGAGAACTTTAAAGGATAGCATACATGACTGTCCACTGACTACACTTGAAAAATGTATTATGAATGTTAGTTAACTTAATTTGTTAGTCATATGAATTTGTTGTTATTACCAATTGTGACCTTAAATGCACAATCTTCCTGCCTAAAACTCCAAGTGCTGGGTCTATAAGTGTGCACCACCATGCTTGACAACTCCATGGAATTTGTATAAACCTGTTTGTATTTTGTATTTGGTTAATACACAGGGAAGTCAGAATTGTGTCTGTGTCAGCGGTGGTACGGCAGCAACTGTTAAGGCTTTCCCACAGAGCCTCGTGCTGATGCATCCGTTTATTTGGCAAAATCTTGGACTTTCTCTGAGGGAAGGCATCAAGAAGGGAGCAGAAAGGTCCCAGATGAACTGAGTGACCCAATAGGAGATCAGGTAGCTCTCAGACACAGTCATGTCCCAATCCACACCAGCGATGGGCCACATAGAAACTAGAGTTTCATCAGTGTTTTAAAGGGTTCTCTGGAAGAGACAAAGTAGATCATTAGACATCAGTATCCCTGGGAATAAATCCATATCCAAACAACACCCAAGCTCCTGAAAATGACAGAAATTCTCTGTTACATTAGGGGTTGCCCTCAGAAATCAACTTTCTATGCCACCAAGACAGCTCAGCAGATAAGAGTACATGTCACCAAGCCTGACCCAAGTTCAATCCCAAGGACCAAGACTGTAGAAGAGAACTGCTTCTCACAAGTTGTCCTCTGACCTCTACACATGCATGCATGCATGCAGCACACACACACACACACACACACACACACACACACACACTGTGTCACATGTGAGTCTGCATACACTAAATAAATAAACTCCATTTCCCCAACAGTTTGCTGATTGAGAAGACAGGTGAGGACAAGGTCTTCTAGGGTCTGGCTGATGAAAGAGGAGCAGTAATTGGGTCTTTTGGACAAAGGAGGGACATAGTGGGTGATATTGTACAAGAAGCTAAGAAACTGAAGGAGAGTGTGGAAGAGAAACAGAACTGACCCCGAGTCAGTGTCTTGTCTCTGTGAACGTAACCTGGATTTGAGACAGGAGGTTCATGCTTTATCTGAGTGTTTCTGCGACTGGAATCAGATGACTGCCATTTCCTGCAACCTCTAAATAGCAGTTGAATGGTGTGTGAGGAGCAGAGCTGACATGCCCACACCCTCACCTTCTCACCCCCAGGCGCTCACCCGTTGTCCAAGCAGATGTTCCCGCAGTATGTCCAGCAGCATGTGTGGTTTGGTGTCACGCATTCGTACACCCTTGTGCACCTTTTCCCACAAAACCGTTTTGGAGGATGTACCCAGCACTGGTCGATTTCGTCCATCCCATCTGGAATGGAGATGCTGGAGGTTGGCAGGGTCTACTCACTCATAATGTGCAGCAGAAACCCTTTCAGACCTCCAGACGAAGGAAACCCTTCTGGAACTTGAATACTCTGTGTGCCAGGAAGTATCCAGGACAGCAGAGGCTCCAGTTCTAACCAGTCTACACAAGAAAGCATCCTTGTATGATAACCTTTCCTTCCTCCCAGGTGTCACCAGAGCACTGTGGGATTCTGGGTCCTAAAGATCAGACCAGGGGTGCATTCCCAACATACACAGCCTCACCAAGTGTATACTGATAAGAACCTAGACTTTAGAGCCTGCAACCTCATCAAGGTCTGAATTCTTTGCACATCAGGTACAGAATGGGAAAACTGAGTCAAAGACAGTAGGAACTTCATTTTCCACTTTTCTGTTTGCTCACCATCAAGAGCTACTGAAGCCACTCTCTCCCCCAAAATCTATACTCTCCATGTACTGAAACTGCCAATCCTGTTACTCTCACCTCCTAATGAGTATATGCATATATATATATATATATATATATATGAGATTTTCTAAGGGACACTCATTTGTTTTCTCCATTTTTTCAGGCCCTAACTGCTCTCAAATGAAATGGATGTGACTAATATCACCATTGAGTTTCTCATTAATGTCTCACCTAGCCAGAGTACAGAGCTGTTGGAAATACAAGCCCAGAGAGAAACCTGGTGTTACTCTAACTGAGCTGGTCTGATGGAAAACTGTGTTTCCCCGCGCTCTGTGGTCTGTACAAAAGGCTTTGCTCTTTTCCTACAAACCTGGTATTGCTTTCAGAGATGCAAAGGGGATTTGAAGGAACACTAGAGAGGAAGCATCCAATGTAATCTAATTGAGATGTCTCTGCTTAACGATAGCTCTGATTTTCAAAGTTTTGTAGTGTGTGTGTGTGTGTGTGTGTGTGTGTGTGTGTGTGTGTGTGTAGTCATGCGCGTGCCATGGCACACACATGTGGAGGTCAGAGGACAACTTTTGAGAGTTCTCTCCACGGTGCATGCCAGCAATCAAACTCGGGTTGCCGGTGTCTGATCTTCTGAAGACTGATTTTAAAATGTGGGCCCTGCATCAGCTATGAGAGAGAAGCCAGGAGCAAACAGAGCACCCCCATTGTCATACTGCTATTGTTACCACGTATTTTGAAGCTTCCCAGAACAAACAGAAACACCACCATCCCGTGGAGGGACACAGGGAGGAGGAGGATCTGGAGCCTCATGGCAGACTTGGCGTTCACAGGAAAACAAATCTTCATCCACTGCTGCTGGAAGCAGAAAAGAAATGAAGGCTTTCCCTGTGTGGGTACCATCACTGCAGTGAACTCATGAGCCTAATGGCATGGGCTATGTAGCATCCAGAAGACAGTAGCTCACAGTGCCCCTCCCCGTCCTCCAGATCTCATATTCCTTGAGCCTCCTCTTCCAAGATGTTTCCTGAGCCTTGGGCTGAGGGTATAATATAGATGTCCCATTTAGGGCTATGCACTCAACAGTTACTTCTCAACACTGTGACCAGTTGAGTCTCTGCTGTAATCATGGCCCACTACAGAAGTCTCTCTGGCCAATAGTGAAAGCAATACTAGTCTAAGCCCTAGCTTTTTAAAAACATGTATTTATTTTTATTTTTATTTTACATATATGTGCTGCATGTATTGTGAGCATAAGAAAATGGCACCGGGTTCCTTGGAACTGGAATTAGAGATGGCTGTGAACCACCCTATGTGGGTGTGTGGAACAGAACTCTAGTCTCTGGAAGAGTAGTCTGGGACCTTGCCCATTGAGCAACCTCTCCATACCCCTAATACCTCATTCTTAATGTAGCACCTTGCTGCCCAAAAGGTTCTCAGGGTCCTGGTAATGCCCAATGTCCTTCCATGCACACTTCCAATGTTCTAAATCAACCCAGAGAAAGGAATCAAGATCCTGCCTAAGTCCTTCTCACATCAGATCCTGAATGCCTCACACTCAGTTCCACTCTTTTGGTTATTTAAGGTAAAGTTTGGGCAATTAAAAAGCCAACGGTCATCAAAATAGACTCAGTTCAGCCACTCCCCCAAACTTAAAAAACTGTGGTCACCCAACATTTTAAAGCTAGACAGGAGTACAGGTGACCACTTGAGCTACACAACATTTACCTTGGGGTTTGGATATGTTAGTCATGCAACCTCTTTTTCAGTTTTCTTACTGGAACAAAAAAGGGACCACCACCACCCATATCACGGAAATAACATCGACATCATTTCAGGCTGCGACTAGTTGCTGAAAAGCACTGGTGCCTCAGGGTTCACACTCACCCTTGGATGGGTCCTTGTGACACCCTTTGGTCCAGACCTGGGACAGCGCACAGAAGAGCAGGAACACAGACGCTCTGTGGCCTGGAGGTTGGGGTGACCTTTGTGGGGGCAGAGTTTTAAGTTCAGCCCAGGAGCTACGTGCCACCATGCCATAGACTCTTTCTTTGGCACTCTTCCACCAGAAAGCACAGAGATGTGTTGACACAGACGGTGCCTCTGGGTGGGCTGGGGACATCGTGTGCCTCCTCCACAGCTCCATTCCAATCCAGACGTCCTGGACCACATGGTGCAGAGTCTTTTTTTTTTCCTGAAGCATCTGAGTGTGCCCACAGGAAGGGATTCACAGACACCTGTCCGTGGTGGTGGCGATGGTGGATTGAAGAATGGTCTTTCTCTGTAACTCTGGCTCGCCTGGAACTCATAGCAATCCCCTTGCCTCAGCCTCCTAAATACTAGAGTTACAGGAGCATCGCACCATATCCAGGCCTGCACCATAACCTTTAACAGCTCGCACACTCTGCTCGGTGTCGATTCTCATTTTTCCATCAAACTACAGGCTGCCACAAATGCCCTCCATGTTTTTCATAGGTGAAGAAACTGGATTTTCATAAAGCTAGATGTACATGTAGCCAATGAAGGAAGTGGAGTAATCAAACCTAAAGTCAGATCTTGCTACAGATTTGCTTCTTGTTGGGTGGAGAGATTTGTTCACCAAAAATCAAAGAAAACATGCTAGGAGCTGGAGGGATGGCGTGGTGCGTAAGAGAGCTTGCTGTGCAAGCTGGGACCTGAGTTCAGATCCCAGCACCCACATTAGAAAAACATCCTAGCAATAACTCACATGCCTGCAACTCCAGCGTTGAGGAAGTTGGGCAAGACAGTTATTACTTCTGGCTGGCCACCTAGCCATGTTGAAAAAAATGCCAATCTCCAGATTCAGTGAAAGACTCTATCTGGAGGGGATAAGGTAGAGAGAGAAAGTGGAGGGCATTGAATGTCCTTCTCTGCCCCTCCACCTCTCTGTCTCTCTATCGTCTCTCTGACACACACACACACACACACACACACACACATACACACACACAAACACACACACACACACACACACACACAGAGAGAGAGAGAGAGAGAGAGAGAGAGAGAGAGAGAGATGCTAAGCACTTTCAAACAACAGACTTCTCTCACTAGGCTGACAGGATTACTTTATGTACCAACAGATGTCTCTGTGTGAAACCCTTCCGGTGTTCCACTGATGCTCTAGGCAGCGGGAGCTATATGCTAAGAATCACAAAGCTGGTGACCAAGGTGGATGGGCCAGGACAAAGGCAGAGACCTGGGTTTGGAAAGCCACGTACAGCAGTGTGGGAACCCACTGAAGGGAAATTGACGAGGAGGAAAATAGTACCTGCTATGGTTTGTAGTTTTTCCTCAAGGATCCTGTGCTGGAATCTTTGATCTTTGTCCCTAGAGTAGCAACGCTAAGAGTGATGCCACATTTAAGAGGTGGGGCCTCACCAGAGCTTCCCTGGTATGGAGAGAGAGAGAGACAGAGACAGAGACAGAGACAGAGACAGAGAGACACAGGCACACACACAGAGAGAGAGATGAATGAAGAGAGAGAGAAGGGGAGGAAGAGGGGGAGGCAGGAGAGAAGGAGGGAGGGAAACACAGAGGTGGATATATTGGGGGCTGAGAATTCAGAAACTGTGGAAGGAGAGAGTTATTTACAATGGGATCCATACACACCATATACAGGTATGAAGTTGTCAGAGGATAAAGAAAAGATGTTTAAAAAGCCAAGGATCTACGAACAAAAGTCACGGTGCTGTAGATGGAGCTGGGTATGTGGAGAGTTAGCCCTTCCTTGGGCCTCCTCAGCCTGAGCTCAACCCTTCCTTGTCTGTTTCTCACAGACCCCCTCCCACAGTCTTCATTCACTACTTTGCAGAACAGCGTGAATTAGAACAAATGCTTGACAGTATGAGTGATTGAAACGAAGCAGGGCAATCATGGAAAGGCACTTCCTGAAATAGTTAAGTGATTAAGTAAGAAAAAAGTGGGAGAAAGGTAACAAAAATGACTGATCCAAAGGCAATTCTGGGGAAAGGAGCAAGGATAACACAGAAAAAGGCGAATCATGGCTGGAGAGGTGGATCAGTGCTCACGAGTACTTGCTGCTCTTGGAGACGACACAGGTTCAGATCCAGCACTGTATTAGGTAGTTCACAACTGCTTAAAACTCTAGTTCCAGGGATCTGTTGTCCTGGGGTCATGTGTGGTGCACAGACACAATACACACACACACACACACACACACAACCAAATAAACACGTGCATCTTTTATAAAATGTACAGTCTTGTTAATTATAATTCCTTCTTCATTCTGTAAAATGTTCTATAATTAAAAAGCAAAAATAAATTGCCTAAATCTCTTCATGTGTGCAGTGTATGCACATGTGTACATGTATGTGTACACTTGCGCATATGGAGACTACCAGCAGACATCACAGACTCTTGCCACACTTAGCACTCATTTTCCCCTCCAGGAAGCCCAGCAAGACCCTGGGTTCTACTGCTCTACCATCACTCCCGGTTCTGGCTTACAGATATGCACCTCCAGGACAACGTTTTCATGCAGACACTTTACCCACTGAGCCATCTTCTGAGCCCTGAATTGTATATTTCACAATAATGAAAATTATGTTAGCAAGAAGAGAGTGCTGATAGTTGGAAAGGGGCATCTTCTGAGACTGCACATAACAGACCAGGGGGCAAGAAGAGGGAAAGTAGGTCGGTTGTTGCTGTGCCCTGGCTTGGCCAGCAGAGGCAGCAGTGAGCCCTCATCCTGCTAAGGCGAAGTTGGCCATCCAGACCAGATCTCAGCTCCTGGGCACCTCAGCTTGGAGCCATGTTGTCCAGGCCTGCAATGCTCATCCTTGCTCTGCTGTTGCTGTCGTCACTGGCTCAGGGAGGGATCGGCCAGAAACGGAGACAATACTTAGGTAAGGTGATTGGATGAGGAGGGCAGCAGGGGAAGCAGGGACTGAGAACTGGCAGAGAAGAGACTCCACTTCATGCCCTGTTCTTAGAAAGCACTATCCGGGCTCCTAGTGATCTCAGAACCTCGGCTCTGGCTCCCAGAGCTCGACATAGTGATAAGGTGGAGAGTGAACCTGCAGTTTTCCCCACTTTGTTCCAAAGATCCAGAGGCAAATGATCCCTAATGAGCAGAAAGGGGCCCCAAGGCTAAAAATCCAATGGGCAAACAAGACACTAGTTCTTGATTGATGCATATTTGGGAAGGGTGAGTGTGCAGAGATGCTCAAGGGTATAGACATGGGCATAGGTGCAGAGACCAAAGACACTGAACAGGAAGGAGGTAGGACGAAGTTGCTGTCTGAGGCAGGGGTGGCAATAAAAGATAAACTATGAAAGGGACAGGACACTGGGAAGATCGACTGCAAAGGAAGCAGAAAGAGGCCAGGGGCTGCTCTGTCACCCTCATGGATCCTCCAGTTCTGGAGAGTGAGAGGGTCTGAGAACCGTCTCAGGTTTCCATGGGCTGAGCAAGAGTATACATTTCAGGGAGGTGATGTGATCACAGCTCTGTCTACCAGGAGAGACTGGTCCTGATGCAGGTAAGAGGAAAACCAGGACACACAGATGCTGACAGCTGTGGAGCAGGTGATGAGATTAGCACAGGACATGGGATTTAAAACACAACTGATCATCAGGACCCGGTGAGAGCCACAAAGACAGTGCCTGGAAAATGCAGGAGTGCTGTGAGTGGGACCTCAGCACACAGAGAGAACTCTCAGCCTGGGAGGGATTCTCTCTGGGCAGCCATCTTCTCACTGTCCTCTTCTTGCTGCTCTTTTCAGTAGCACAAGGTCGCCCTGTTCTCAGGGAGTGTGAGAGGTCGCCAATGATGAATGAGTGTAAGCACCACTGTGAAGCTGACCAAGACTGCCAAGCAAATAACATATGCTGCTTAGCACCGTGCGGGAATATCTGTGTGAGCCTGGTGGATAATAGAATATGGGAAGAGTTTGATGCTTCCCCTGCAACTCCCCCTACAGAGGAAGAATCTTTCTCCACCGGCTCGTTTGAAGGAGATATGGCTTCCACCTCGTCATTTACCCCCATGGCCATTCGGAAATAAACAAGAATAAATGTCGTGACAACTGTTAGTTTTGGAGGGCCCTAAATAAGGATACTAAAATAGAAGCCATCTTAATATTCCTACTGTATTCTTAGAGACTAACAGTTAAGTTTCTATTTCTCTGTTCCTGCTTATCTTCCTGTACAGCATATTTTCAAGGCCTGCAGTCCAGACTCACCCAGCTGCAGACTTGTGTCCTTGGAACATACCCTGCCAAGGAAAACTTCTGCTCCCCCGCCCTTCTGCTATCTGCCCTACTTAAGCCCTCTTGATACTTTTAATAAAAGAGACTTGATCCAGAATCCTGTCTCTCCTGTTTCTTGTCTCCCCATTCTCACTCCCTCCCCTAGGGTCCCTGTTGACTGACCACCTGGGCTAAGGCAGTTAGTGATCAATGAATCCCTCTTCGGAGCCAGTATCTCCTCTCTCTCTGTCTTTCCCTCCCTCCCTTCCTCCCTCCTTCCCTCTCTGTCTCTGTCTCTCTGTCTCTGTCTCTGTCTCTCTGTCTCTCTCTCTCTCTCTCATTAGCAGTGTGTCTCTGGTTTCTCCTCTCAGCCCGTGCACCCACTCCAATTCCAAGAGGCTCCAGCACACAAAACCAAACCTCCCACAACAAGTCGTTCATGTGCAACATGCCACAATGCCCAAGAGAGCATTCCTTGCCTTTGGGGACAGAAAAACCTACAAGCATCAAACAGGTAGAGATTAAAATAAAATAGCACAGAGAGTAGGAGGCCCTCGACTTGGCTCTGCTCACTCCCACTCTGCCCTTTAAACTCTTCCGGGATTGGGGTTCTACAGTGAAGACAGTGGTCCAGGGAAGTCAGGGGTATGATTAGGCCTGGGAGAGACTGAGTGGGGCTGATGGCCTGAGGAGGGTGTTCCTTCTGCACTATTTTGGCTCAGTTCTCTCTGTCTCCTGAACACAGAAGTTCTCTTCCACATGCCTACATCAAAGTTTCTCCCGTTTGTCACTGATGCATATGGACACACCAGCAGTGGGGCCTGGGTTGGGGTCTGAGACTTGTGTGATTTCATTAACTGAATGTTCTCCCCCAACCGCAAACCACCCTCCTTTAGGCTCTTCTTTACATCTAGAGGCACATCAGAAAGAGGGATGGGTGGCTTGTGTTGGCATTGCAGAAAATGACTTGGCACAGGATGGATAAGTCACTTGCCCATATGCTATTGGTAGTAGACATTAACTACCAGGGGTGCAAACTCCCTCCTGCTCTGTGTAATCAAAACTTTCCTGAAATAATCCTAGTGCTCAATCCAATATTCAGCAGTCATTCATGTGTGTGTTAGTTAGCTTGGCTTTACAACAGCAACCTAAGGCAGTGAACCTAGAGAGGCTGTGTTCACAAATACAGGATAGAGTCCAAGACTAGGGAGGGGTGTCACATCACAAGAGTGGAACATCATAACAGGAACACAAATCAGGAACCAGGAAAGGGAGGGAGGAGAGCACTGGTGGAACAGATGGGGGGGAAGGAGGGAGAGGGAGGAAAGAAGGGAGGAAGGGAGGGAGGGAGGGAGGGAGGGAGGGAGGGAGAGAAGAATAGAGAGAGAGAACAGTCACTTTCAGTGACAAGACTCATATGCCTAAGGATCTCTCCCTGGGACCTAGGCATAAATGTTCTCAGCATTAGGGGCGACGGCCTTGGTCCTGCCTCAACTTGATGTGCGAGGCTTTGTTGATGACCCATGGAGGCCTTTCCCTTTCTGAGGACAGGATGAGAGGTGGGGTGGGAGGGAGGTGGGGGGCAGAGGAGGGGAAGGAAGGGGAATTATGGCTGGTATGCAAAATGAATACAAACACTAAAAAGGAAAAGAAAAGATGTTCCCAACACTTTCCAGTAGCACTGAGGCACATAGGCCTTTGGAGAATACATGCAAATCTCAGCAGTAGACACTTGGTACGTGGCATCAACTATAGAGACAATTCGTACAACCAGACCATGAGCAGTGGCAATGTCCAGTGATTTTTTTTCTGGGCCACTTAATGAAGGACATTGCAAAAGAGAAAGCCTCATATATTGTGTCAAAGCCTATGATCTAACTTCATAAGCAACACAGGGCCCTGGAGACCTCACATTTCTTTAGAATTTTGATGAGGTCGCTCTAGGGAAAAGATCATAATCAACCCGTGTGGACTTTGGAGGCTGGTGGGCAGTGAGTGATTGTGCTTCGGTGTTAGGAATAATCTTCTTGTTTTTGGCTTTATGAGACAGGGTTTCTCTGTATTGTTTGGTTCAGTCTGGCCTCGAACTCACAGAGATCCGCCTGCCTCTGCCTCCCAAGTGCTGGGATTAACGGCGAGCACCACCACCGCCTAGACAGGAATAATCTTTTTGTACACTGTGAAGGTGTGTCTCTGCCACAGCACCTTCTGATGGGTTTAATAAAGAATGAAGTGGTCAATAGCTTGGCAGGAAGAGGTTATGTGGAACTTCCAGCCAGAAAGAGGATGGAAGAGGAGATGGAATGGAGACAAGGGAGAGATGCGAGGTTGTGGAGAGAAGACAGGAGTTGCAAGCTGGAGGAGAGGCAAAAAGTCTGAAGGCCACACTGAGATTACTACAAATGGGTTAATTTACACTGCAAGAGCTGGCAGGACAAGCCTAAGCCATAGGTTGAGATTTTCATTGTTAATAATAGCTCTCTGTGTCATTTTTTTGTGATCTGGCAGCCCAAATAAAAACCCATCTACACTTCTGGATACCTTGGATTATTATGTTACATTGGTTTTGGTTCACAGTTTCAGTGATGTCTACCATGGTCAGGAGGATACAGTAAGAAGAGCAGTTACATCATGGTGATAAGGAGGCAATTGTGCTTACTCCAAGAAAGGACAGAGCAGGATACCTCTAAATGCACACTTCACTGCCAGTGATGACTTCATCCAGTATGACTTACCCTAATGCCTTTACTCCATCCTAAAAAGCCAATATGTTATTCAAATCAAGGGTTGGATCCATTCATTAAGCCCGGGGCCACAAGACCTGTCTCTGAAAATGGCATCAAAAATTCCCCTGAAGTGTGCTTCCCTAATCTGCTGGTCAGTTCTTAACATGGTCAAGTTGGCAATGACATCCACCCTCATGGGCAGGTGAGATAACCCCTCTGGTAAAAAAAACTTGTTGACTCAAATTAGACCCCAGACCCCAAAGTTGGTTGAGCATCTGTTTTTGCTTTTTTTCCTCAGAAAAATCATGTTCAGTTTTTCATTTTAATTTATCTTTGGGATTTCATACATGTAATAATATGTACTGGTCTCACTCAACCCCCACCCCAGGCATCCTCTCTGATTTCCATCTGTCCCCACAACCCTGTCATAGTCATATGCATCCTCAAGTCACCTTCCACTTTCTTGTCACTTTGTTTTGTGATCCCCTAAAACTGTACCATGGGTGTCACGTTGAGTGTGGGTGTAGAGTGATCCAATGCACTTTGGATCTGTTGTTTGTTTTCAATACACATCCACCACAGTTTCCCCATCTCCATTCCTACCCCCACCATTTTGCTTTAACTATGTGGATTATAGGAATTTGTGAGCTAACCTGTGCTAGGAACCAATCTCAGGTCCTCTGCAAAGCAGTCCACACTCTCAATGGCTGAGCCATCTGTCCAGTTCCCTGCATGTGAATTTGTCATTGTGATGGCTCATTTTGTGTCAGCTTGACACAAGCTCCTTAAGATCAGGCAGTAACACATGTTCTTAATTACTGATTGATGTGTCAGGACCCAGTCCATTGTGGGTGAGACACCCTTGCACTGATGGTCCTGGGTTCTACAAGAAAGCAGGCAGAGCACGCCATGAGAAACAGGCCAGCAAGCAGCCTTCCTCCATGGCCTCTGTGCCAGCCCCTGGCTCCAGGTTCCTGGCTTGTGTGAGTTCCTGTCCTGAGTTCCTTTGATGATGAAAAGGGTGTAAGCCTTTCCATCCCAACTTGCTCTTTGTCATGGTGTTTCATCACAGCAATAGTAACCCTAACTAAGACATTTGTCTAAGTTTTGTTTTGCTTTTTTTTCTGAAAGATGATCATATAAATTTGACCTTATGTAACATTTAGAGATTTCCATGTGTGGGCTGTGTCAACCTCATGATGATGAGTGGTCCTTTTTGCATGTGAGAGTTGCTTTGTTAGTATTTTGTCTGGAGTTTTGCATCTACTCAACATAAGGTAGGGTAGGCTCATGCTGCACTCGCCTGGAACCTGGAATCATTGGGTATCACTTGCAGCCGTGTCCCCTGGTGCTGGCCTGAATGCTGTGTGTTCAGATGAGAGTCTAGAGGCAATATCCAGCCTGAACACTGGGCTCTTTGGAGTCAGCCTGGACCTAAAACACATAAGTGTATCTGTGGAGCCTGGGTTCAGCTCTCAAGTCTAGAGATAGACATGAGACTTGCGTCTACTGGGATATGGGTTGAGTATGTGCAGGTGCCCAACTGGTATTTAAAGCCATGGCTTCTGACATTTCATGAGATATGATCGAAACCTGCAGCCACAACATAGCTTACAGCCGGGTGGGCCTGCAATCTGTTTGGATGCAGACAAGCCTAGACACTGGGACCAGAGGTGGGAGGGTCAGCCTCATGCTGGTGTGGCCTTTAGGCCTAGAATAACAACAACCTGGTATTAACAGTGGTCTAGAGCCTGGAGTTTAGAAGCCAACTCGGCCAACTAATGGGGTTGGAGGGGGGCTTGGCCTAGTACAAGCCTGAAGCTCAGGGCCTTGGGGTTGACCAGGTCCTGAAGCAAGTTTAAAGAAAGTCACCCAGGCTGTCCTGGATCCTTAATATACAGTGTCTCCCTCGTGTCCAAGGTAGACTTAAAGTTTCAGTGTGAAGTTGTGGCCTTGGGGCAAAATGTGGGGCAAAGTGTGTAGCATACCGTCGTGGGAGACTATAGGAAGTATCTGTATAGGACATCAAGAAGTCAATTAGGACTATAAAATGTGTTCTTAATTGGTCTAAATCTGGAGTCAGATTTAGAGGAAAACGCTGAGATCAGAGAGAAGGAGCAAGCCAAAGCCACCTCCTTAGCCTCTCAGTGGATAAGAGAGCCAGTTCCCGTTTCTTCCTGCTCTTATCCTGTCTGTGTCAGCCATCTCACTTCCTGTCTGTGCCCAGCCATCTCACTTCCTGTCTGTGCCCAGCCATCTCACTTCCTGTCTGTGCCCAGCCATCTCACTTCCTGTCTGTGCCCAGCCATCTCACTTCCTGTCTGTCTGTACAGATCTCCAGACCTCAAGGGTTGTTAGTGCCAAACTCCATGCTCTCATCTTCAGATAAGGCTTTATTTGTACAAGTAAGATATCACCACATAGGCCTGTGCAGGTCAGCCTGTTTCTGGGAGCAGCCTGGGGCAGCTGTCACTGGGGATGTATCTTGCTTTGATGAAGGTTTCCTTGTAGATGTCTCCCTGTTTGTTAGAAACCTGGATCCTGCTATAGGTACTCATACATTTATTTACTTCGTTTAATGTAGCCTAAAGAATTACCTCCATATAACCAAAAATATTATGAAAGAACTTCTCTTTCAAAAAATGAAATTAAATGGGTCACTGGCCAATTCCTCACATGAAAATGGTACCCGAGAAAGTCCATAAGAGTAGATTGTGAATTCTAAGTCACATAATGTGGTAAAATTCCTACAATTAGGATTTATTATAGTACAATCAAGAGTAGGAGAGGAACCTATTGTGGTGGTGAACACCTTTGACCCCACAACTCAGGAGGCAGAGGCAGGTGAGTCTCTGTGAGTTTCAGGTCAACGTGGTCTACACAGTGAGTTCCAGGACAGGCTCAAAGCTATACAGAGAAACCCTGTCTCAAAAATCAAAGAGTAAGAGAAGGACTTTGAAAGAAGGGTTTTGATGGGAATGGAGAGTTTGTAAGTCAGTAGTAAGGGGACTTTGATCAAATAATATGATATATGATGTGAAATTGTAAAAGCATAAACCATTTTAAAGCAAGATGTTCAGGGAGAAGAGTGGAGAGATGTGAAGAGGAGGAAAGGAATGGATCACTGAAGCCAACTGTGAGCAAGTGGTTTATTTTTCCAGTATGTTGACCTTACCCACCATAAACACAGTGTTTCCAATCGTAAGTGTGCAGCCTCTCTCTGAAGTCTAACCATCCGCGAGCTCTCGTGAGGCTGGGCCAGCGAGAAGGCAGGCTCATTTCTTTCTCTCAAAAAACTTCTGTAAAAAGAGAAAGTTTAGACTCTGAGAGAAACAGGTTTCTGACAAACAAGCGTTCATCCTCAAGCTGTAGTCTGGTTCCCACTGGCTGACACATCCTATAACCAGCACCATAACCTGTCCACTTCCAGACACTGAGAAATCTGGCTGAGCCCAGTGTAACCCCAGAGAAGTCTATTGATGGAGTCAACGATTACAAATGCAGACGGATTGGGAAATAGGTATTTAAAAGAGGCACGCCTTCACCCTAGCACTTGGGAGGCAGAGGCAGGCAGATCTCTGTGAGCTTGAGGCCAGCCTGATAATCGTCTTGAGTTGCAGGACAGTCAGGGCTACACAGAGATGCCCCCCTCCAAAACAGCAACCACAACATAAAAAAAGCCACACACAAAAAACTGTGATGTACCATCGAATTGCTTTCCCTGTTTGGAGGACATTTCTTTCTAGCTCTTTCTCTCCCTTTCCTCAGCCCTCCCCCTCCTTCTTTTTCCCTCCCTTTCTCCCTCCTTTCCTCCCTCCCTTGCTTCCTCCGTGTGTGTGTGTGTGTGTGTGTGTGTGTGTGTGTGTGTATCTGTATGAATGTCTATGTCTGACTGTTTGTATGTTGCTCTTTGTCTGGGTGTGTCTTTGTGTATGTATCCCTGTGTGTATGGTGGGTATGTATCTGTGTGTGTTTGTGTGTGTGTGTGTGGTTCTGTCTGTAGGGGGAGTGGTGTAAGTGTATGTTTGTGTGTATGTGTCTGTATGTGTTTGTCTATACATGTTTGGGTGTGTGGATATGTTTATGTAAGTCTATGTAGTACATAATTAATATGTCTGTCTGTCTGTCTATTGTATTATCTATACATGTCTATGGGAGGGGTATGTGGATGAGTCTATGTATGTCTGTGTGTGTCTGGGTGTATCTAGCTATGTCTATATATGTCTGTGTCTGCCTTTCTGTATGTATGTGAGTGCTTGTCTGTGTGTGGGTCTCTGTGTGTGTGTGAGTATTTGCCTGTGTGTGGGTCTCTATGGGTGTGAGTTCTTGTCTGTGTGTGGGTCTCTGTGTGTGTGAGTGCTTGTCTGTGTGTGGGTCTCTCTGTGTGAGTGTCTGTATGTGGGTCTCTGTGTGAGTGTTTGTATGTATGTGGGTCTCTGTGTGTCAGTGCTTCTCTGTGTGTGGGTCTCTGTGTGTGTGTGTGAGTGTTTGTCTGTGTGTGGGCCTCTCTGTGTGTGTGAGTGCTTGTCTGTGTGTGGGTCTGTGTGTGTGTGTGTTTGTCTGTGTGTGGGTGTCTGTGTGTGAGTGTCGGTATGTGGGTCTCTGTGTGTGAGTTCTTCTCTGTGTGTGGGTCTCTGTGTGTGAGTGTCTGTATGTGGGTCTCTGTGTGTGAGTGCTTCTCTGTGTGTGGGTCTCTGTGTGTGTGTGTGAGTGTTTGTCTGTGTGTGGGCCTCTCTGTGTGTGTGAGTGCTTGTCTGTGTGTGGGTCTGTGTGTGTGTGTGTTTGTCTGTGTGTGGGTGTCTGTGTGTGAGTGTCGGTATGTGGGTCTCTGTGTGTGAGTTCTTCTCTGTGTGTGGGTCTCTGTGTGTGAGTGTCTGTATGTGAGTCTCTGTGTGTGAGTGCTTCTCTGTGTGTGGGTCTCTGTGTATGTTTGTCTGTGTGTGGGTCTCTGTGTGTGTGTCTGTGTGTGTGTGTGTGTGTGTGTGTGGGTCTGTGTGTGTGTGTGTCTGTGTGTGGGTCTCTGTGTGTGTTTGTCTGTGTGTGGGTCTCTGTGTGTGTGTCTGTGTGTGTGTTTGTCTGTGTGTGTGTGTGTCTGTGTGGGTCTCTGTGTGTGTGTTTGTCTGTGTGTGTGTCTTGTGTGTCTCAGATTTGGCAGACTTTGTCTTCTGTTGAGAAATAACAGTCTGATGCAGAGGGTGCCATCAGTGAAGACAATGGCCACCACACACATCTGCAGCTCACCCCATTTTCTGCACAGATGTTACCACAGTAGGTCCAGCAGCATGTGTGATTTCTGTGTACACATTTGAAAGTTCGAGAACACCTCTTGGTACAATCATTAGCTTTTGGCTGTCCCCAGCACTCCTCAAGTAACAGCTCTCCCTCTGAAATGGAAATGAAATGACAAGAGGCTAATAGAGTCCCACAGGCAGACATTGTAAGACAAGCCCTTTCTGAGGTCTGAGCTTCCTCCCAGAGTCAGGGTCTCATATCCCCGTCATGGTGTCTATCTTCTGTGTTCCCTCACCGTGATGTCATCTGTTTGGTCCTGATTTCACAGGCTCTCCACTGAATTCATTACCTCAGCTGCCATAGGACTTAACAGATTCTGTATATCCCCAACATGCATGTGCCCATTTATAAAATATAGATTGATTTAACAAGTGATAAAGTCTGAGATATCTACTGCCTTCATCACAATACCTGTCTCAGGTAGACAGAGTCTGAATAAGCTTTCTGGTTTTGTGTAGCAGTCTTGCAGTGAACTTGTAAAGGTGGCCACACCCCGTTGGGCGTGGCATCAGGCAGACAGAAGTGGAAAGGGGGAAGTTTGAGGCATGGCTTTCCTTTGCTCTTTCTTTTTGGTGGGTCAGAGGATCCGTAGGAAGGGCAGAGAAGAGATCCCATGGTTGTTAGTATTTTTCTGTGTAATTGGTCCCCAATAAACACCCATTTATCGTTTATCTCGGGTATAGTGAAATGATTACATCCTCGCCTTCAGTTCAGTTTTGTTTTTGAGTTTGGCTCTCATGTAGCCTAGGCTATCCTTGAGCTCACATAAAGCTAAAGATGCCCCCAAACTCCTGCTTCCACCTCCCAAGTGCTGGGATTACAGGCATGCTCAATCGTGCCTGGCTTGAACCAGGTTTTCTCTGTACTCCTTCCTGTCTGACTGTTCCATGACACACGTGGAGGACAGGCCACAGTTCTGTAGCATTGGCTCCCTTCTTCCGTATTTATGTGGGTTCCAAGGTTCAAACCCTGGTCCTCAGGCTTTCCTGACCATGCTTTACCCACTGAACCTCTTCAGTCGCCTCTCTCCAAGTCCTCAGGTCTCGATCTGCTTCCTCCACTGATCCTCCACTAAGGTCTCTGGCGCTTTTTCGCTTTCTAAAAGATGTATGTACTCTCGAGTTTCTTTAATAAATACCCATTTGGTTCTCATGAAAGGAACCACAGAACTTCTGTAAGTTTGGAGGGGGGAGTTCTGTATTGGCTCTCGATCCTCAGAGGGACTGGGAAATATTCTCTTCACTGCTCGGGTGTATTATGAATGCTGTTGTTTGGGAAGTTTCCCAGACGGAGGATTTCTCACATTCTGCAACAGCTGGTCTGGGAAGGAGCACCTGAATCAAAATGCCAGCACAACACCCACTGCCTTGTCGGGAAGTGAGCACAGCCCCGACCCTGGTTCACATGACACCCACTCGCTTGTTCCAAAGTGAGCACCTGCCTGGCCCTGGCTCTCAGGGCGTCCTCACTACCTACGAGAATAAGTCTTCTTCCCTCCCCGGGCAGGCAACAGCAGCATGCAGAGGAACACCACAATCGGGAGCAGAGAGGGCCTCATGATGCTGACCGGAAGTGTCTGGAGACTCTTTTTTTTTTTCTTCCCAGGGCTGCTGGAGATCAAACATATCAGTTGGGAAATAAAGGTGTGAACCAAGAGGATATGCTTATGTTTTTTTTTATATTCAGTCTTCTAGTTAGAAGCCTCCCCCTCCACTAGATAGCATCTGACCTCCACCTTGGCCAAACCATAGCTATGAAGTGCCTCACTTTTTCCCTCTGCTAAAGAAAATATTTGTTGTATGTTCTTTCTTTCCTTAATTAAAAGATAATTTACAAAATCTACATATAGACTATTGCAGAATTTAAATAACAAAAAATTACATCCAGGAGTGCTGGCACATGCCTTTAATCCTAGCACTCAAGAAGCAGAGACAAGCAGATCTCTGTGAGTTCGAAGACAGCCTGGTCTATATAGGGAGTTTCAGGACAGCCAGAGCTGCATAGTGAGACCATGTCTCAAAACTAAAGAGAGCAAGATGGAGTTTTATGTGTGTATGGAAATGTCACAACGAAAGAGTCGATTTGATTCATTGTTCTCATTTCTAAATAGTTCAGTGAAGGTCTTTTTTTTTTTTTTTTGGTTTTTTTTTCGAGACAGGGTTTCTCTGTATTGTTTTTGGAGACTGTCCTGGAACTCACTTTGTAGACCATGCTGGCCTCGAACTCACAGAGATCCGCCTGCCTCTGCCTCCCAAGTGCTGGGATTAAAGGCGTGCGCCACCAACGCCCAGCTCAGTGAAGGTCTTTTAACAAAAGGTCTTTCTCTCACATGGACATGGCACGTTTACCAACTTCGTTGAGTTTTATGTTAATAGACTAAGATCTCATCCTACCGTGGGTATTCCATCCTATTGGAACACCAAGAAACCCTACTGTTTCTCTGCCTGTGGGTCTTGACCCCTTTACCATCCTGCATGTCACATATTTACATTATGATTCATGACAGGAACAAAAATATTTATGAAGTTGCAATGTAATAATTTCATGGCAGGAGGTCACCACAACGTGAGGAGCTACACTTAAGGGTTGCAACATTAGGAAGATTGAGAACCACTGGTTAAAGCAATCCCCAAATCAGTGTCCATAGGCTCACTTACACTCCCAGACTCTGATCTTTGCCTACCTCTGACGATGTTCTCAGTGAGAGACGCTGATAATCCTTTGGCTGGTGACGCTCTGTTCTCAGTCCCAAGGAGAGGGGAGCGTCTGCACACAGGGCAAGTTGAGAGGAATAAATGTCAGTGATTGGGACTTTGCTCCTGCCTCCAATTGGGTCAGATACATCTCAGATCTTAAGGACCTTGGGCCTGGTTGCTGCTTTTCTTCTTGCTGCTAGAACAACGTGCACCCCCACCTGAGTCCCTTCTGCAACAGACTCAGAAGCCTGGGTGGCTGTGGGAGTGAAAGGTCTGTGAGTCTGTTTCTCTGCAGCACCGTGGGATGTCTTTGTAAAGTGCCGTCCTATTCATTTCTCCATTGATAGTGTCATCCTGACAGTGTCCCTGTGGGCTTCATGCCAGGGGAAAATTTCTCATCCAAGAGAGATCAGACATAAGTATTGGCACACAAATGTAACACCTAGACTTGGCAGCTGGAGTGATGGCTCAGGGATTAATTAGCATTTATTGCTTATAATATATATATATATATAGTTACTACTTTTCTGTAGCTGTGATAAAACACCATGGCCAAAGGCAACTTATGGAAGATGTAGTTTATTTTGAGTTATGGCTCCAGAGAGATAGGAGTCCATGACAGGAAGGAATGGCAGCCAGCTGCAGGCATGTGGGAGCACCATGAAGCTGAAAGATCACATCTTCAGTCATGGTCCTCAAGCAGACAAAGATAGCTGGTAGCAGGATGAGGCCACAAACTCTCCAAGTCTACTGTTCTGAGCAGTGACACACTTGCTTCATCAAGGCCATACCTCCCCAAAACATCCCAAACAACACCAGCAATGGGCGACCAAGTCTTCAGATACATAATCCAGAGAGTACATTCTCATTCACACCACACACTGCTTTGCAGAGGACCTGGGTTTGGTTCCCAGCACCCACAAAGCAGCTCACAATCCCCTGTAACTTGGCTTCCTGGGGGTCTGATGCTTGCATTTGTTTATGAGCACCACATAGGTGCAGTGCCTATGGAGGCCAGAAGAGGGCATCTGAGCCCTTGGAGCTGGAACTAAAGGGACTTGTGAGTCAGCTGACATGGATGTTGGAAACTGAGCTCAGGTCCTCTGTGTTGTTCTGAGACATCTCTCCAGGCCCTAATTTGTGAATAGTTTTAATGTAATGCACATAGTAAATATTTTCTATAGCTTTAAATGTATCTCATAGTTTGGGACTTTTGTTCTTGTCTTGTTTTGCTTTGGTCTTTTGTTTTACTTTGTAGACAAGATCTTGCTGTGTAGTCCAGGGTAGCATTAAGCTCACAGTCCACCTGCCTCAGCCTCCTGGATGCTGGGATTTCAAGTGTGTGCCACCAAGCCATCTTTCTTTGGGTATCTTTAAATTGTATTTATTTCTTTATGATATGTGTGTGGGTGTCTTCTCTGTGTGCACTTCCGTGTGTCATTTTCATGCCTGGTGCCTGTGGAGATCAGAAGTGGGCATTGGATCTCTAGGTCTGGAGTTACATATGGTTGTGAGCTACCTCGTGGTGCTGAGGATCAAACTAGGATTCTCTGGGAGAGCAGCCAGTGCTCTTAACCACTGAGCCATCTCTCCAGCGAGTCTCTGCATATCTTGGTGGGATCTGTAGGTATTAGCCCGTTACCAGGTTCAGTATTGTCAAGTATTTCCTCCCACTCTGCAAGGTACTTCTTTGCTTTGGGGCTTCCTTTGCTGACAGCAGCTTTTGAGTTCAAGTACTTGGTACCACCCTGAATCTCTGTACGTCTGAAGAATTCACCCATTGAATGGTGGCAGAAAAGGTTGAACCACACCGAAACCCAAAATCAGTCAACAGTCATCAAAGACAAGTGATGAGCCTATCAGAGCAGTGAGGAGCTTTAAGCTTGAGATTATCTCATTTGTCAATTCTTGCTTTTGTTGCCTGTGCTTTTATCATGGTGTGTGTGTGTGTGTGTGTGTGTGTGTGTGTGTGTGTGTGTGTGTGTGTGTGTGCGCATGCTGGTGTGTGAGTATATGTTGAAAGACCCTGGCCCAGCCTACACAGGCAAGCTGAGGCTCATGGAAAATTCCTTTCCCCCACAGCTCAGCCGAATAGTCATTTTTTTATCAGAAGGGAGCTCTGCCCAAGGACATGGGCTTTGGGTGTCTTCTGTGACCAGATGGCCAGCCCAGCAAGATTGGGCAAGCACAGAGACCTATTGTTCCTCAGATAGGGCCAAGGCCGAGACTTGAGTTCTGAGAGAAACCTCAATTGCCCTCGTTCTGAGCCCCGGCCTCATTTACATTGCCCAATCAGGGTCCCGTAACTAGGCTTCTCGCTTCTGTACTGCGCTTTTTGCTATAAAAGGACCCCTGAGTCCCCAGCTCGGGGCTCTCAGTTCCCGAGACTGAGATGCCCCGGGTACCCGTGTATTATCAATAAAGCCTCTTGCTGTTGCATCCAAGCTTGTGGTCTCGTTGCTCCTTGGGTTCGGGTCTCCCTCCCGTGAAAGTCCCCCGCCTGGGGTCTTTCAATGTGAGTGTGTGTGAGTGTATGTGAGTGTGTGTGTGCATGCTGGTGTGTGAGTTTATGTGAGTGTGTGCAAGTATATGTGAGTGTGTGTGTTTGTGAGTGTATGTTTGTTTGTGAGTGTGTGTGTGCGCATGCGTTTGTGTGAGTGTCTGTGAGTGTGTGTGAGTGTGTGTGTGCTATCTTACCACAACTCCAGCTCCTGAAGCTGTCACTCCAGACACAATTCTGTTCAAGAGTTCATGCTGAACTTCCTCTGTAACAGTTTCCCCCTAGGCCAGGGGGAGGGGCTGGCCCCAGTGACCTATCAGGGCAGCTGTTGTCAATGATGTAAACAGAAAGGTGGTAAACACGCATCTTCACTGTCTCACTGTCACAGGGCCTGCAGTAAGAACACCCTTTTCAGGGTTTTAAACAGGCTGAAACTCCACGTGCTGTCCTCCTGTGTCTTTCCTTCTGGTTTTGCAGCCTTGGGCCCAGTTAGGCTTCTCTTGGGTGCTCTTTTTAAAATTCAATTAATTAATTAAAGTCATGTGATGGGGGAAAGTCCTTCTGTGTATATATAAATAAAGTACTGTTGGCCAATAGGGAAGCAAGATATGTGGAACTAGGAGTCGAGGAGGATTCTGGGAAATGTTGTGAAGAGAGTCGTGGCGATGTGATCCCTGTAGGAGAGAACCCAAGTCTGGTGTTCTGAAAAAGATAAGTCCTTATAAAAATATATATTGGTGACTAGAGCTAGCTGATTAGATACCATAGCAAATGGCCCACAGATTTATAATTAATGCAGTGTCCCATGTGTTATTTGGGGGTTAAAGCGGCAACAGGACCCAGGCAGGAATCCCACAACAACATGGTGCCGACAACGTGGGTATTAAAAACTTCCACTTATAACTTGACAAAAGCTTAAAAAGGGATTTTACAATTAAAAGAACAGAGGCAAACACAGCTTCTTGGTAGTAGTATTTTTCTCAGGTGAGCTCTGTTTTGCTTGAGACAAGCAGAGACTCACTCGGCTCCTTTAAGGGAGGTTTCCTGACTCAGCATAAGTGGAAAAACTTCATGGCTTTTTAAAGAGGCTCTGTTAGCAATTGAGTGGCGTGTATTAGCAGCTGGCAGTGGCGGTGACCACATCTCCAAGCAGGCAACATGCTGCTTGATGGCAGCATAGACCAAGGTGGTGAGCACAGCTCCCAATTCTGGCAGCAAACTCATGCCCGCCAAGTTGGGAAGCCAGCGGCTGTTTCCATTTTAACTTTAGCAATGTTGCTTAGCAGATAACAGACACATGGCGAGAAAAACATGTAAAGTCAGATTCAGATGAAGTAAAACCTCTAAATGTTTATAGTGTGTTTAAAAATATACGTAGGCTTGGAAGAGAAAAAGAAACCAGATGAAGTGGTTTAAAAAAATACAGAGAGAAATTGGCTAGGTGGTGGTGGCAGGCACACCTTTAAGCTCAGCACTCCAGAGGCAGAGGCAGACAGATTTCCACAGAGAAATGAAAGTAAAAAAAGGAGTGTAATAAAAAGCCATGTAAAGAGGAAAATACAGAGTCTGGATACTGTATACTACTGTCTTTCAGTTGTTCAATTGCTAAGGAAGGAGCAACAACTGCTAAAATACACTTGATTATAAATGCTACTAATTAATCCAGCTTATGTATTTTAAAAATGCCTTGACTTCAAAATTTAAGTATAAGGACAGCTTACTTGGAAAAGGAATTTCTGCTTTTGTTTCCACAGATATTGGAAAGCTGTGGATTCCTTCCAGACTTCTATGGTTTGATGAAGCAAGGCTCCCTGAAGCAATGTCCAGGCAGTCCAGCATCTGAAACAGCTGGGACAATGCAACCTTGCAGACTACAAAAAATAAGGTCCTGGCTAGGTTTCTAGGTTTTGTCATGATCCTCACGGTATGGGCTGCACCTCCATCTAGCAGGAAGCAGTTTGGAATGAACAACGCACAAATTCCCAAATATTGTTTATACATTTTTGTTTCTATTTAAATGGGGTTGCTTATAAAAGATTAATGATCACAACCAACTCTTTTTAAAGGTAAAAGGGAGATTATGGTATAGAAATTGTTTTGTGTGGATTTTCATTTATTGATACAAATTTAAGGCCAATTTTGTGATATGTATATTTCTCCTCTTGTTTAAGTATCATGTTTATACTGATCTTTTAAAACATAATGAATAATTAAATACAGATTATAGTTACTTATAACAGTCAAAACTTATTGTTAGGTTAGTTAGGTTATCTAGATATACAGAGATATATTTGAGGTAGATAGATAGTCTTCAAACTTTTCAAATACCTTCAGAAAATGACATTTAAAATGGTTTAGGGTTGTTCTTGACAATGAGAAATGTCTGCTCCTGGCACACCAATTATGACTGAGAGGAAGATGGGCATTGAAGAAACTCATTATGGAGTTTACTTTCAACATGGCAAGATTAGCCATTTTGACAAGAAACTGTTCTTGCCTGAACTGTTTGACCTCTGCTGTACAAGCTGGACATGCAGGACCAACAGGAGAGTGACTGCTGAAGTTGGACAGTCCTATAGGTTTCCTGCTTCATGCAAGAGTATGCCAGACATTCTGCAGGACACAGAAAAATGACTGACAAACTGCCAATGCAGGTGGGCAGTTTAAAATGTCCTGGTTTGTTGAGAGACACACTGTGGCCTATGGGCTGAAGATGGATGCCCTAACATTACAGAGGAATTTCGGGTGACTGTCCAGGTAGCCAGATGTCTCTGTCAATTCTAGTGTTTATATATTATCCATCCTTTGATGGAGTTAAAGACAGATAGTTATAATGATAGTTTTCCCTAATTATGATAAGATACATTACATATAAGACTTTAGACTCAGAAAGATAGGATAGATGGTAAAATACTATCTTTAAATCTTACTAAATGTTAATGAACTAAATATTGTAACTATAGTTCTTGCTTGATAACTGTTCTGTTATATATAGTTTGACTATGTTAAAGTTAGAACCTTTCTTTTTATTTAGACAGAAAAGAAGGGATGATGGGGAAGTCTGTGTATATGTCAAAAAAGCACTGTTGGCCAATAGGGAAGCAAGATAGGTGGGACCCGGAAAATGTAGTGAAGAAAGTCTTCACGATGTGATTCCTGGAGGAGAAGAAAACCCGAGTCTGGCGTTCTCGAAAAGATAAGTCCTTATAAAAATACAAAATGGTGATTATGGGTCAATGATTAAGTCAGAGCTATCGGATTAGTAACCATAGCAAATGTCCAAGAGATTTATAATTAATACAATGTCCCGTGTGTTATTGGGGTGCTAAAGCGGCAATAGGACCCAGGCAGGAATCCCACAACAGTTATGTGTCTGTTATTTTGCCTGCTCTGCTATCTGTGTACCACATGCATGCAGTTCCTGTCAGGGCCAGAGGAGAGCAGCAGAGTGAGCAGGCTTGTGAGTGCTGGGAACCAAACTCCTGTCTTCTTGCAAGAACAGCTGTTTCTCTTAACTGCTGAGCCTTCTCTTCAATCCACAGAGGCCTTCTCTTGTTTACTTTGATACCTACCATTAGAGCACACCACGCTGGTAACACAAAGATGTAAGTGACAGCAGGCAACAGAGGAGCAGCAGGGGCGGAACCACAGAGGGGGCAGTGGTGTGGGGGTGACAGGAGCCAGGAACTGGAGTTGTCATGGCAACTACAGCGGGAGGAGGCACGAGAGAGGTAGCAGAGCCCAGTGATGGCATCTGTGACAGCAGTGACAGTAGCAAGAGGCAGCTGAAAAGTTCTACAGAGTAGACAAGAGAGAAGCGAGAGGAATGGCAGAAAAGAAGCTGGGAGGAGGTGGGGACCAAACCCGAGAACACTGGAAGGCTGGAAGGACCAGAGAGACACTCAAGGCCCTGGTTAATTAATGGAAGAGTTCCAGACAGGGGTAGACAGTTCCTCTCTATATGACCCCCGCAAGCAATGCTTCTTTTTATGATTACTTCTGTGCATGTGAGTGTGTATGACACATGTGTGTAGGTGCTCGTGGAGAAGAGGGTGCTGGATCCCCTGCTACTGTAGTTACAGGCAGTTATACACCTCCCAACATGGATCCTGGCAGCCAAACTGGAATCCTCGGGGAGAACAGGACATACTCTTAACCCCAGAGGCATCTCTCAAGCCCAATGCTGTTTCTTTTTATATTGTCTCCTAGAGTGTTGGGCCACGGCCTGGAAAGATGCTTAGTAATAGGTTAGATTCCTGGGAGGGCCAGCACTCACTGTCCACCTGCCTCTAAAGATGTCTACGTTGGTTTTGATCATGGTCTTTCCCCCAAGGCTCCCTGTGCAGGAGAGGCTCAGCATCGGTGAGGAGGAACCTGAAATACCTAGATGCTGCAATGTTTGAGGTGGATCAGGGCCTCTGGCCTCAGAGAGGAGGTTTCCTCCTTGCTGTGTTCCCAGGTGAGTGACCCAGGAGCACAGCTCAGGGTACAGCCTCTGAGTAAGGCCTGCCTGTCTGAATTTTCTGCATATCTGATGCCATGCTGTGTGGTGGTGTCTTGCTTGTGCAAATAAAGCTTGTCTGAAGATCAGAGGATGGAGCTAGCCACTAGCTAGCCATAGAGGTCTGGAGGTCTGTACAGACAGACAGGAACTGAGATGGCTGGGCACAGACAGGAAGTGACATTGAAATGTAATAAGGAAAATAAAAGGCCCTAACAAACTGAGAGGGAGCCACAATCAGTTCCCAGAAGTAGGCTGTAGCCATGGGAACCCCACTGAGACTTGCAGATTCATGTGACAAGAGCAACACGAATGAAGGCTTGGCGCAAGCTTGTGTAGTGCACAGCTTAGTACCCAGAGTGCTCTTCCACCTTACTAAAGGCTTTGTCTGCTGTTGGCCAGGAGCAGGAGGAGGAAGGATATCAGTGCTTTGACTGCAGCTGTCTTGCTCCTCACCCACACCCTTCCCACCCCATTCTATGTTTATGACTTCACTCTGCTGTGTCCCATTTCCATCTCACCCTGTGGGGTAAAGCAAAGCATTTCTTCTACCTTAACGCCCCACCCCGCGGAACTCCACCCCACATGTCAAGGCACTGACCCCTTGGTCCCTTCTCGTCACTGCTTTCTGACTTCTACCTGCTCAATCTCATGACTTTACCCTTCCTTAGTCTATATACCAACAGTGACACCTAGTGACACCTCCACTCATGTAAAATGGATTTGGACACAATCTTCAGCTGTATGTTCTTGATAACTCTCTGAATGTTTTTTATTCTTTCTGTAGCCTTTACTTACATTTGAAAAGACTCTTGAAAATCCCAAAATGAATGAATGAATCACAGTGACAAATCAGGTACTGTTTAAGAGGAGAACTTATTTAGAATGTCAGTTCTAAGTCTTTGGTATTGCCATCTTTAAGTAAGATTTTGTTTCCATGGGCTAATAAAAAGCAGAAGTAGCTTGTGGGGACCTACTAGGATCTAGGGCCTGAGATAATCTAAGAAGGGGCGCATTGTGGTATGGTGAATTCAGAGTGACAGTGTCCTCACTGGCCAAAAAAGCAACCAACACACGTGGAATAGCTTTCTCTTTTACGTTACATCAATACACAGAGATAAGTAGCTCTATGATTCTTGGTGAACTCTAAAGGGTGGAAATGTAGGAAAAATCCAAACCAGGAGGCAGGAGCTGCGGAGTGGGGAAGGGGTGGGGTCAGAGGAAGTAGTTGGGGCATCAGACACTCCTGGAACTATAGTCAAAGGGAGGGTCCATGTTCCTGGAACAGCTGGTTTGGGAAGGACATAAGGCTGCTGGTGAATAACTCCAAGAGGAGTCCGTAGGCAGAGGAAACACTGTTCTGGGCACCCTCACTCCCACCCCCACCCCATTCAAGAGAATGGTCTAACAGGAGGTTGTTTTGTGTTCTTCCAAGACTTCCCATGTAGCTAGAGTTCTCGATGATGATTTATGGTACAACCATGGGCACACACTGGTGATTTTACAGTTTAACTTTACACCCCATAGAGGAGAGAGGGACAGGCCATTAGTAGTCAAATGTGTAAAGACACAGACAGGGGCAGGATTGGGTTTTGCACTTTAAGAGATGCCCATGTGTGGCTTCTCCTATGGGTGATAACCCACTGAGAACAGACATGGATGTCAGATTCTCTGGGGCTTGGCAAAATCAGGTTGATCTGCAAGTGGAGAGGGGTGCCTGCCACCAGGATGCAGAAGTGGGGGTCCTCAAATGGGATTGCATGTGTGATATGAAAGGTACAGTGCCATTATCTCTGTCTTCCCACAGTAAGCGTTTCCATGGTCTTTGTATAAACTGCATGAAGGGGGAAAGTGCTTTGCCGACCGTACCTGACTCTTCCAGGTGCATGCAGACATTGCCACAGTCGGCATGACAGCAGCGATGAAACTCATCTCCACAGTCAGAGTGTACCTTGCAGGAGTGTTTGCACTGTGTGCTGGTTGGATGCTTCAGGCAGGGCTGCAGTTTGGGCCTTGTTAAAACTGAGAAGGAATACATAAACAGTGATTTTCCCAACCAAGAGCATTTCTCACTATTGCCAGTGCCCCAACAATCAGAGACCCCCCCACCGCCCCTTCCTCTTCCTATCCCTGCCCAACAGCCTAGTTGTTCTTTTGGGTTCTCAGAGGAAAGGACCCTCCACCTGCAACATTTTCCTCACTCCCGGAAGCCATCATATGGTTGTCCCTACTATCTGCATGGAATTTAAACTCACAAACACAAGTCTATTTGTCAGAACAAAGAGTCCTAACAAATCTAGTACTTGATTTGGCGGGGTGGAAGGAATTGGGCCCTGGGGCAGGAAAGCATGTGCCTTCTGGTGTTTGAGTTTTTGGTCCTTCATGTCCTGGTACGGTCTGTAAACTAATCTCTTGTCAGAGGAGCAGCCTGGAGGGACTCCCTCCCAACCTTTGAGTTGTTCCTTTGTTCTACCCTTGTTCCCTTGGCTGTGCCAGAGCTTCCAAATTCAAGGCCATCTGTTGATTCTTTCCTTTATGTCCTGAACTACTGGAGTCTTCAGAAAATTGTTGCCTATGCCTACAGCCTGAAGTGTCTTTCCCAAGGTTTCCTCTAGGTCAAAGGTTCTCAACCTTCCCTTTAATATAGATCCTCATGCTGTGCTGACACTCAACCATAAAATTACTTTCATTACTACCTCATAATTGTAATTGTGCTACTGCTATGAGTCATAAATACCTAATATGAGACCCCTGTGAAAGGGTCGTTGAGTCCTCAAAGGGATCATGACATCCAGGTTGAGAACTACTGCTATGGGAATTTCAAAGCATTATGTTATAGTGAACATTCCAAAGATGAATAATCTGTTGGGCCCCAGGCCCCACAGGGTCTCTGTGAGTCACTGGTCAGTCAGTCAACAAGTCCATCCTGTTTTCTAGTCCTAGCATCCTGCCCTGGCCTTGACCATCTGACAACATCTAACACAAGGAAAACACCTCTCTTCCACCTTGGTTTTTCCACTGTGCTGTAAGCCTGTATATAAGACTGCTCCCTCCTACAAGGGATCTCTCTCTCTCTCTTTTAGCACTTGTAACACACACACACACAAACACACACACACTCTCTCTCTTTCTCTCTCTCCTCTCTCTCTCACTCACTCTCTCTCTCTGTCAGCAACAAAGGCAACACATGTATTCGCTTAGTAAAAACAAGTGGATGTCTGGTCTTTTTTTCCTAATACCTTGGAGTTGCTTGTGGGGCGGGCGCCACAATTGGAGGTCCCACTGAGATCCAGAGAGACTTAGAAAGACTGGGAAAGATCAGCCAGAAAGACGACTCAGGAGAGGAGAGCCTTGGAAAAGAAAAGATTTAAAAACAGGTACCTCAACTTCTAACAGTAAAATTGAATGGTCAAATCTCCAGGCTTTTGCCTGAGAGATCACTTTCTAAGGAGAAGGTGTATTGAATTAATCTCCAGCCTTCGCCCGATCCACTGAGTTTGGGAAAGTAAGGGGACACTGAGAGATTGCCCTCAGTTGGTGGGTGGATTGTATTAAATTTCCAGGCCTTTGCCTGACACCAAGGTCAGGAAAGAAAGGGAAACCTGAAAGATCACCCTAGGTTGAAGGGTGGATTGGATTAAATCTCCAGTCTTTCGACTGATCCACTGAGGTCAGGAAAGTAAAGGGGAACTGAGAGATCGCCCTCAAAGGCTGGCCAACAAGTAAGGCTATGAGGGTGTATTGGAAAGGGGTTCCAAGTTAGGGGTACCAGGTTAAATCTCCAGGCCTTCGCCTGACACTAAGGTCGGGAAAGAAAGGGGAACCTGAGAGATCACCCTCAGTTGGAGGGTGGATTGAGTAAATCTTAAGGCTTTTGCCTAAGGGATCATCCTCAAAAAGAGACAAGGTACCAGAAAAACAGTTTGTAGAATTATCAATTGTTAAAGAGACAAGGTACCAACAGAACAGTTTGTAGAATTGTTAAGGAGGCAAGGTACCAGCACAACAGTTAGTAGAATTGTGGGCTCCAGTCAGCCGGCAACATGAGTGACAACGACGACGTGGTGTACGCTGGCTGGCTGAAGAAATCGCCTCCAGAGAAGAAGTCAAGGTACTATTCCTGGAAGAAATGCTGGTTTATCCTGCGGAGCAGCCAGATGGATGGCAACCCAGCTATTCTAGAACACTACAAAAATAAACACGAAAAGAAACCCCTGAGGATCATCAACCTAAACTTCTGTGAGCAGGTGGATACAGGCCTGACCTGCAACAAAAAAGAGCTTCAAGATAGTTTTCAGTTTGATATCAAGACCTGGTGGCTGAGACAGGGGCCGACGTGAATAAGTGGGCCCAGAGCATCTGCCAGATCTGCGGCTTCAAAAGGAAATCCTCAGCCCTTTCACACCCTGGCCAGCCCACTTTTGAGCCCCCTGTGTCAAGCCACATCCAGCCTGCCTTGTCCACCAGCACACCTCAGGAGTATCTCTACTTACACCAGTGCACAAGCCAAAAAACAAAAAATACGAGAACTGTCAGCTTCTCTCAGGGTACTCAACAGAAGAGTGATAGGGCCATATAAAAACTTGCCCAGGGCAGTGGACACTTTATCAACAGAGTCAGCGTACAAGACTATGGCTTCTATAGCCTTCCCAAGCCAAGCTGACACAATATAAAATTGAAGGACAGTACTTATGACCTCCCCCATAGGCTCACTTCACATAGCCACACCAAGGGCAGCCTCACAGGGTCTGAGGTAGACAATATGGAGGTTCCAACCACCCCGCTCTCAGCCTACCAGTTCCCTAGAACATTCACACTGGACACAACGGCCACTCCTGGAGTCTCAGCCATAGCTCCCCCACCCCGGCCCCCCAAGCCAAGTCAGGCAAGTCAGACAAAAACACCTCAGTGGGGCAGCCCTCAGCAAAGACCGCCAGTCAGCGAAAATAACAAATCTGTAGCTGCTACTATCCCTAGGCACAATACCCTCCCTGCAATGGACAACAAGCGACTCCACCGAGCCTCTTTCTGTGAGACTTAAAAGTACCCAACACGAGGCAGAGAGAGCACCAGCTGGTCTGCTAAATCTCCAGGGACAACTATCGTAGGTCGTTCACAGTGCCAGCTCTGACGATAACTATGTGCCCATGAGCCCAGGGCCCCATCACACAGCCCTTCCTATTCATAGAAGCCCCAACCCAGGAAGAGAGATCCAGCCACCCCCAGTCAATCCCAAACTCAAGCCTGACTGGAAAGCAGAGCCAACACCCTTTGACCTGAGAAACAACACTGTCATCGACGAGCTCCCTTTCAAGTCACCTGTCACCAAGTTTTGGTCCAGGGTCAACCACATCTTTAACTCAAGCCCCTCCCAGTACTGCCGTCTCATCTCCACCAAAACATCACCAGCACAGACTCAGGAGACAGCGAGGAGAATTATGTTCTTATGCAAAACCCAGTGTCTCATCCTCTGTCCCCAGTGGCACCAACAGCCCAGCTCTGAAGAAGAGTACTGACAATGTGGATTACTTAGTCCTAGACTTCCAGCCGGGCTCCCCAAGCCCTCACCGAAAGCCATCCATATCATTTGTCACATCAGATGAGAAGGTAGATTATGTCCAAGTGGATAAAGAGAAGACACAGGCACTAGAGATCACCATACAGGAGTGGACAAAGATGTGGCAAGAAAAAAATTAGGAAAATGGCGTCTGTTGCAGGATTTAAGAGAGGTCAATAAAACTGTGATCATCATAGGTGCCACACAACCAGGTTTGTTCATTCTGGTAGGAATTCAGAAGGACTGGTCTTTATTGGTTGTTGGTTTACATCCTAATGATTGTACAATTTACCTTTAGTGTGCCCTCCATTAGTTTTAAGGCCTCAAGAAAATTACTTTAAGGTTAGACAAATTAAAATCCTTAAATGGATATCATACAGAGGGTTCCTGATCCTGATTTTTCCTACACCCTTACTAAAGAAGGCAGAAATTGCCTTAAAAACAAAACAGCAAGCCTTAGATAAGATTGCATCTTAGAGCTTACCATTAGGGCATATAAGATAAGTTTACAAATCTTTGGCAAAGGACCTGATGTTATTGTTACCTTGTAACTCCTCTAGCCTAGCTACAACAAAATATTGGCAATTAGAAATGGAAAAATGGTAAAGGCCATGAGGGCCTTTTTCAACCTTTTGTTTTGATTCAAGGATTGGCTGGAGCTGTTCTGTCACAAGAGATTTCAAGTAAGAAAATTTCATTTCAACAAACTAATCATAACCTAGGAAAGAATGATGACTAAAAGATGTATGTATGTTCTGTAATTATGGTGTGGCCACACCGGTATGTATGAAATGTGATTGGGAATGCGTGAATGTGAACTACTTAAATTGCCTTGCATATGATTAAAAGGATACTTAGGTTACATTGGAGATAGTTAAAAAGCTACCTAAATTTCTTTGGATATAGCCAAAAGGAGCATCCAGCCAGTCAGTGTCTTAACAGGAAAGGTTGATGATTTGAGTCCTCAAAGCTAGTCAGTGGAAAAATAACAGAAGCCTACAACATGGCCCCAGAGCCAAAGAAATCTATATGAAAGATTCTACAGAGTTTAGTAGAGGATAGGATACAGAAAGTCTCCAGAATTTTTATGGTTAAAAAAAAGTTTTTTTAAGAAGAAGCAACCGAAAAACTGCTGCCCTGTTAGACCCCACCTACAAAGGAGTCGGTGTAGATACAAATTAGGCGAAAGCTTTACAAATTAGATCGCAAATTGGATTAGAAAGAGTTCTTACAAACTTCAAATAATTTTCAAAAGTTATTTGGGACATAGTATAGTTTACAATCTTTGAGTGATTTTCAAAAGTTATTGGAAAATATTCAATGGTTATGTCCTTTTTAAAGGACATCTACTAGTAATTTAGATAGTGATCCCAATTCACCTAGATAGTTAACTAAGGAGGGTAGACAAGTCCTTCTACTGTTAAAATATAGTCCAACATCAATAAGTGTTAACAAACAGTTCCAACAAAATTTCAAAAAATTAAAAAAGGGGGAGTAATGTCTCCAGTCCCCACATGGTTCATTAAATCATGCACTCCTCATTTTAAAATGTTTAAAGTGTGGATTAAAGTGTGGATACCAGTGAGCAATCTGCTACAGACAGATTCTGGCATGATGTAACTTGAGCGACTTTTGCTCAGGTCAAATGGAGACATTCATGTACTAGACAATGGAGAAGACCCAATTTTGCTGTAATTTGGGGGTCGAGGGCGTGTTTGTGTTTTCTTGCAGGAAATGAATAAAACTCGGCGGCTGTCAAAACATTTGGTGAGATGCATGGAGCAGAGAAAAATTGGACCTGAGACCGTGGGAGCCTGCCCAAGCCAGTTCAAGTGAGATCTCCTAAAACAGTGTTCTTGACCCTTGATGTCATCAAATCTACAGCCTGAGAAAGAAAGGAAACAGTTGGTTCAAGATTTCCAGTTTTTCAACAGGCCTGCTGCATCAACCTCCTGGACCCGTTTAATCCCCCCCCCCCCAAGCCAACAGAGAACTGGAAGATCAACAGTCTGCCCTTGACACACCTTGAAACAACAAAATTCATTTTGCCAGTTTTTCCCTTTGGGGAAAAAAGGATCCATTTAAAACAAATGGACACTGGTATGGACTGTAATAAGTGGCAAAAGCCCCTTTTCGGTATTTGAACAGGACACAGCCACTTGAAATATCAGCCTTGGTGGTTCCTGTTCCTGGAATTGGGCCTATGCCAGTATATTTTTCTGGGGAGATGCAACTTGCCTTAATGCAGCAAAAAAGAGACTTTGGCATCACTGCTGGGGTGATTGTAACTATCGCTGTTGCTGCTCCAGCAGCCATTGTATCTGGGACTGCCATCTCACAGTCTGTAACTACAGCCAGCACAGTGGATAAACCAGCAGGGGATGTAACAGAGGCTCTCAGCACTCAGATCTCCTTAAATAACTTAGTTCAGGTAGGAATTTTACATCCTTAAACCTGTTCGCCTACCCTGGCACACATTTGTGTTACCCCTGCCAACAAGTCCATTCTGTTTTCTAGTCCTGTCATCCTGCCCTGGCCTTGACTCTCTGACATCAACATCTAGCGGAAAGAAAACACCTCTCTTCCACCTTGGGTTTTTCCACTGTGCTATAAGCCTGTATATAAGACTGCTCCCTCCTACAAGGATCTCTCTCTCTCTCTCTCTCTCTCTCTCTCTCTCTCTCTCTCTCTCTCTCTCTCTCTGTCTCTGTCTCTCTCTCTGTCTCTGTCTCTGTCTCTCTCTCTCTCGTCAATAAAGGCAACACATGCATTCTCTTAGTACATCTGGTCTTTATTTTCCTGATACCTTGGAGTTGCTTGTGGTGTGGGCACCACAATAATCCATTAGTAAGAATGACTACTAATAAATACATGAAAAAAAAGTTGAGCATCTTTGGACATAGAGAAAATGCAAATGGATTCTTTCATACCCCAGCCAGAATGACAAACATCAAGAGAACAAATAACAAATGCTGGCAAGAATGGGGAAGAAAGGGAGGGAGCCTTTAAAGCCGTTTGGTGGGAATGGGGATTGGTCCAGCCTCTTGGAAATCAGGAGGGAGATTCCTCAAAACTAGTAAAACTGCTGTAGCACCTCATATCACCATCCTTGGGAATATCTCCCAGGAATCAGAGCCACCACACAATAAAGACACTGCATACCCATGTTACATTTGTGTGCCAATACTTATGTCTGACCTCTCTTGGATGAGAAATTTTCCCCTGGCATGAAGCCCACAGGGACACTGTCAGGATGACACTATCAATGGAGAAATGAATAGGACGGCACTTTACAAAGACATCACACGGTGCTGCAGAGAAACAGACTCACAGACCTTTCACTCCCACAGCCATCCAGGCTTCTGAGTGTGTTGCAGAAGGGACTCAGGTGGGGGTGCACGTTGTCCTAGCAGCAAGAAGAAAAGCAGCAACCAGGCCCAAGGTCCTTAAGATCTGAGATGTATCTGACCCAATTGGAGGCAGGAGCAAAGTCCCAATCACTGACGTTTATTCCTCTCAACTTGCCCTGTGTGCAGACTCTCCCCTCTCCTTGGGACTGAGAACACAGCATCACCAGCCAAAGGATTATCAGCGCCTCTCACTGAGAACATCATCAGAGGTAGGCACACAGCTCAGATGGAAAGGTATCCTGGAGCTCGGGAGCCAAGGACCACCACAGATTTCAGTAAGCTTAGCTGCTTACAGCCTTGCCTCAGGGAAAGGCTTCCCAGTGTATCAGCTCTGCTCTGGCATGAAAGTGCTTTCCAGCTGGGCATGTTTGCCCAGTGTAGCAGTTTTGCTCTGGCAGGAGGTTTCCCGGCCGAAGCTGCTACAGTTCAGCCTGCTCCCAGTACTCTGCTCTGCCAAGGGAAGGTTTCCCCAGCAGAAGTGTTACAGCCCTGCTTGCTCTGCTCTGCTCTGCCCAGGGTCGTCTCTGCTCCGCTGCAAAAGAAGGTCTTCACCTGAAACTCATCAAAGGAGTTTATTGGGAGGGAAAAATCCAGGAGAGTGGCTGCCCTCTGCCAGAATGGCAGAGGACAGCCTGGTAGTGCGAAACCACAAAGCTGAACAGACACAGGGTTTATATAGGGCTTCCAGGGTGGGGATTGGTCAGATTTCAATGCCGAGCTCACATTGGCTAGAACTCCTACCAAGGATTGGTTAGTTTTCTGCACAGGATTAGGGTCAGATTTGGCTCTGGTTTCAGGGCCAAAGTGTGTTTCTTTGGCACTGGTTTCAGGGTCAGGGTGCATTTCTTTGGTTCTGATTGCAGGACCAAAGTGTGTTTCATGGGCTCTGCTTAGGGTGTTTTTTTGGCTGAACCCTTTTCCCTACAGTTTCGTGCATGAATGTTTTGAGGGTCGACCCTTTAGTATTGGATATCAGTTGGCGTGCTCGTCCTGGGGAAGGCTACTTCTCCCATTCTCAGCATCCCTTAGCTTCTTGGAGTTCTTTGTCTAGGACTGAGGTTCTGTGAACCCCCCCCACACACATTGGCATGTCTAGTGATGTCACCCTTGTTCAGGTCTTGTTTGTCAGCCATGTTGGTAAGACTTCATGGCTGTAAGATTCCTGATATTTCTAGAAGACACACTATCACAGAAAATGACCTCTGGCTGTTACAGTCTTCCCAAAGCCTCTTCTGCTATGGTCCCTGAGCCTTAGGTTCAAGAGTTGTGCTGTAGACCTATCCGTTGTGACTGAGATCCAGAACTCTGCTTTTTGATAAGTTGTGCTTTCAGCAATGTTCTCTGTTTGTTGCAAAGAAAAGTGTCCTTGATGAGTGGTGACAACTACACTTAACTGCTGGTACAAAGACAAATATTTAGAATATAGTCATGGATTATACAGATTTAGTAAAGTGTCAGTTGTAGGTTATCCTTCAGTATCCGTGAATTCATGAGCCCTGAGTATCAGCTAGGTTTCCAGTACCAGGTATGATCTCCCTTTTGTTGAGTGGGCCTTAAGTTCAATCAGAAATCTGTTGGCTATCACCAAGGTAAGGTATGTGCCAGAGCTGTACCCATGGACATGCCAGTGTGGAGAGCTGTAGACAATTAATGGCTGCTGAGAGAGGGACAGTCAGTCCCTCTGGGAATAAGCCCCCCAATAGGTTATACACCCTCAAGTGATCATCCCTAAATACACACATGCAAACAACACCAAAATGAACCTAGCAGGTTGTATTTATATATTTATTATCTACATATGTGTACAACAATAATTAGTAATGAAAAAAGCCATGAATTTGGGAGAGAGTGAAGTGAGGGGGCACGAGATGGGTAAGAAGGAGGAAAGGGAAGGGAGATGTAAATGATGAAAATGTGACATTTAAAACTAAATTTAATGATTAAAGAATATTTTCTAAAGAAAGTAACTTGTTATTTGTATACTAACTAAATTAGATATGAAATAAAAAAGAGGGGCTGGAGAGGTGGCTCAGTAGTTAAGGGAAGTTTCTGCTCTTCCAGAGGATCCGAGTTAGGTTCCAGCACCCATGTGGGACAGTTGACAATCATGTGTCATACACAAACATGTAAACAAATAAAAAAGAGGGGCCTGGAGAGATGGCTCAGAGTTTAAGAGCACTGGCTGCTCTTCCACAGGTCCTGAGTTCAATTCCCAGCAGCCACATGGTGGCTCACAACCATCTGGTGAGATCTGGTGTCCTCATCTGGTGTTCAGGCAGACATGTGGACAGAACACTGCATATACATGATTAATAAATCTTCTAAAAATAAGAAAGAATAGAAAGGATGTCACATAATTTCAGTTTTATCCAAACAGTATATGTACATTTGTACATATAAATGATGAAAGTGTATCACCAGTATAATGGAATCAGTAGATTTTAGTTCCCTTTTGTGATTTCTTTCTTTCTTTCTTTCTTTCTTTTTTTTTTTTTTTTTTGGTTTTTCCAGACAGGATTTCTCTGTATTGCTTTGGAGCCTGTCCTGGAACTTGCTCTATAGACCAGGCTGGAGTTGAAATCATAGAGATCCACCTGCCTGTCTCCTGAGTGCTAGGATTAAAGGCGTGTGCCACCACACCCAGCTGAATTTTTTTAATATTTAAATTCTGCAATAGTCTATATGTAGATTTTGTGAATTATCTTTTAATCAAGGAAAGGAAGAACATACGATAAGCATTTTCTTTAGCAGAGGGAAAAAGTGAGGCACTTCATAGCTATGGTTTGGCCAAGGTGGAGGTCAGATGCTATCGAGTGGAGGGGGAGGCTTCTAACTAGAAGACTGAATGTTAAAAAAAAACCGTAAGTGTGTCCCCTTGGTTCACACCTTTATTTCCCAACAGCAGCCCCTGGTAAGAAAAAAAAAGTCTCCAGACACTTCCGGTCAGCATCATGAGGCCCTCTCTGCTCCCGATTGTGATGTTCCTCTGCATGCTGCTGTTGCCTGCCCGGGGAGGGAAGAAGACTTATTCTAGTAGGTAGTGAGGACACCCTGAGAGCCAGGGCCAGGCAGGTGCTCACTTTGGAACAAGCGAGTGGGTGTCATGTGAACCAGGGTCGGGGCTGTGCTCACTTCCCGACAAGGCAGTGGGTGTTGTGCTGGCATTTTGATTCAGGTGCTCCTTCCCAGACCAGCTGTTGTAGAATGTGAGAAATCCTCCGTCTGGGAAACTTCCCAAACGACAGCATTCATAATGCACATTAGGGATCATTTGCCTCTGGATCTTTGGAACAAAGTGGGGAAAACTGCAGGTTCACTCTCCACCTTATCACTATGTCTAGCTCTGGGAGCCAGAGCCGAGGTTCTGAGATCACTAGGAGCCCGGACAGTGCTTTCTAAGAGCAGGGCATGAAGTGGAGTCTCTTCTCTGCCCGTTCTCAGTCCCTGCTTCCCCTGCTGCCCTCCTCATCCAATCACCTTACCTAAGTATTGTCTCCGTTTCTGGCCGATCCCTCCCTGAGCCAGTGACGACAGCAACAGCAGAGCAAGGATGAGCATTGCAGGCCTGGACAACATGGCTCCAAGCTGAGGTGCCCAGGAGCTGAGATCTGGTCTGGATGGCAGACTTTGCCTTAGCAGGATGAGGGCTCACTGCTGCCTCTGCTGGCCAAGCCAGGGCAGAGCAACAACTGACCTACTTTCCCTCTTCTTGCCCCCTGGTCTGTTATGTGCAGTCTCAGAAGATGCCCCTTTCCAACTATCAGCACTCTCTTCTTGCTAACCTAATTTTCATTATTGTGAAATGTACAATTCAGGGCTCAGAAGATGGCTCAGTGGGTAAAGTGTCTGCATGAAAACGTTGTCCTGGAGGTGCATATCTGTAAGCCAGAACCCGGAGTGATGGTAGAGCAGTAGATCCCAGGGTCTTGCTGGGCTTCCTGGAGGGGAAAATGAGTGCTAAGTGTGGCAAGAGTCTGTGATGTCTGCTGGTAGTCTCCATATGCGCAAGTGTACACATACATGTACACATGTGCATACACTGCACACATGAAGAGATTTAGGCAATTTATTTTTGCTTTTTAATTATAGAACATTTTACAGAATGAAGAAGAAATTATAATTAACAAGACTATACATTTTATAAAAGGTGCACATAGCAAGATCTCGACTTTAGTTTTAAATACTCCACTTCCTTCATTGGCTACATGTACATCTAGCTTTTATGAAAATCCAGTTTCTTCACCTATGAAAAACATGGAGGGCATTTGTGGTAGCCTGTAGTTTGATGGAAAAATGAGAATCGACACCGAGCAGAGTGCAATGTTAAAGGATTTGGCGCAGGCCTGGATATGGTGTGATGCTCCTGTAACTCTAGCATTTAGGAGGCTGAGGCAAGAGGATTGCTATGAGTTCCAGGCAAGCCAGAGTTATACAGCAAGACCATTCTTCAATCCACCATTGCCACCACCACGGACAGGTGTCTGTGAATCCCTTCCTGTGGGCACACTCAGATGCTTCAGGAAAAAAAAAAGACTCTGCACCATGTGGTCCAGGACGTCTGGATTGGAATGGAGCTGTAGAGGAGGCACACAATGTCCCCAGCCCACCCAGAGGCACAGTCTGTGTCAACACATCTCTGTGCTTTCTGGTGGAAGAGTGCCAAAGAAAGAGTCTATGGCATGGTGGCACGTAGCTCCTGGGCTGAACTTAAAACTCTGCCCCCACAAAGGTCACCCCAACCTCCAGGCCACAGAGCGTCTGTGTTCTTGCTCTTCTGTGCTCTGTTCCAGGTCTGAATAAAAGGGCAGTCAGAGTGTTCTAACAAGCACTCTTTGAACGGTGAGCGTGAATCGTGAGGCACCAGTGTTTTTAGTGCAGGCTGCAAGAACCTGGCTACTCAAACCTTGAGGGGCTTACAGAGATGACTCAGTAGTTAAGAGAGCTGGAGGTGTGTTCCCAGCACCCACACCAGGCAGCTCAGGGGCTCTGGTGCCTTTTGTGGTAGATGCAGGCACTGGCATGAATGTGAACACCCAGGCACACTCTTCCATCCCCCCACACATATAAATAAAATTTAAAAAAAATACTAAAAAGACACAGAAGACAAAGGAATGTGTTCTTTAAACGAGAAGATGCATAACCCTGGTCCAGGATGGCTTTCAATATAAATGAACAACGTCAGAGAAGCCATGGCTTTCAGTGCATGTGCCACTGTACAAACCTGCTCTCTTTAGTGCCAGAGGAGGCACCAGGCGTCCACACCACACCCTGTCCATGTCCTCCCCCAGTTACCTCACGCCTCACCTCTCAGCCCTAAGTGGGTGATGAGCAGATTGTATACTTGCCCTGCCGTGTATTGCTGGTTTCACGGGATCAGAAGGACCCCTGATCTGCAGGAAATGGACAACCTGACACTGCTAGCTGATTGTTCTATTGCAAGGAACTTATCTGTGAGACTTCGGGAGATTGGCTAACTTATGGCAGTTCCCCCTTGGCCTGAAGCTGCCCAGTGCACACATGAATTCAGAGGCCCTCAAGGCCAAGATAGGGCTTCAGACGCTCTAGAGCTGGAGTTACAGGAGGGTATGTACCACATTGTTGCTGGGAATTGAACCCAGGTCTTCTGGAAAAGCATTATGTGCTCTTAACTTCTGAGTCAGTTCTGCTCGACTTCAGTTCTGCTACTTGACCTTTCAAGGATCTCTGACATTACACTTGCATTACTATAGAGACTTTTTGGTAGATGTGTGCCTTTAACCATTGGTCTGTGAAACCTTTTTATGATTGTAGACATGTCCTATGAACCGACTGTACCATGGCTCTAACATATTGAGTGTCTGAAATCGTTAAACATTGACACTTCACTTCCATTTAATGAATGGAAATGGTCTCGCGTAGCTGACAAAATCTGTTAAACAGTGATGACAGTTGTTGCCATTCAATCACCCAGAGTAGCATGCTTACTAGCCTGCACCAAGACACTAATTGAATAAAAAATGAGACAGCAGAGCATTATAACGTGTATCTTTAACAATGCACAGTGGCATTTTTAGAAAACACACACACAATTTGCTAAAATAAATAGGAGAGCAGAGTATAAGAATCCATGACTTTAGCTCTGCACAATGACATCTTCAGAAAACACACACAAGAGTGACTGAAAAATTCCACTGTGGCATATTTGAAAGAACAAAAGAACTTCTATTTTTGTACACACACAGACACACACATGCGCATATGTACACATGTGTTTTATTGAGCATCAACATATTACATATGTTTCCAGATAACAAGCAGGACACTTGATGTATCTAATTTCATGAAAGAGTGAGTATAAAGTAAAAGTATACACGTATACTGGTGGTCATCAGGTAGAGGAATTCCTGATATTTCTCTGTCTCTTCACTGTATTTTGTACACAATCTAAGGAGTCATTATTTTCCTTAGAGGAAGCAATGTTTTCTAAAGGGAATCAATATGTAAAGGAAGGGTGTGTCTTGTGAGATGGGAAGCATCTGAGGGAAGCTGATGGCCAGTGAGGGCGTTGGCATATATGTGGGGGCCAGAGGGACAGGAGGGGCGGGATATAGAGCAAGCCATCTGTCATTCTCCTTCTTGCCCAGCTTGCCTTCATTTCTTTTCTGCTTCCAGAGGCAGTGGATGAAGATTTGTTTCCCTGTGAACGCCAAGTCTGCCATGAGGCTCCAGATCCTCCTCCTCCCTGTGTCCCTCCACGGGATGGTGGTGTTTCTGTTTGTTCTGGGAAGCTTCAAAATACGTGGTAACAATAGCAGTATGACAATGGGGGCGCTCTGTTCACTCCTGGCTTCTCTCTCATAGCTGATGCAGGGCCCACATTTTAAAATCAGTCTTCAGAAGATCAGACACCAGCAACCCGAGTTTGGTTGCTGGCATGCACCGTGGAGAGAACTCTCAAAAGTTGTCCTCTGACCTCCACATGTGTGTGCCATGGCACGCGCATGACTACACACACACACACACACACACACACACACACACACACACACTACAAAACTTTGAAAATCAGAGCTTTCGTTAAGCAGAGACATCCCAACTAGATTACATTGGATGCTTCCTCTCTAGTGTTCCTTCAAATCCCCTTTGCATCTCTGAAAGCAATACCAGGTTTGTGGGAAAAGAGCAAAGCCTTTTCTACAGACCACAGAGCGCGGGGAAACACAGTTTTCCATCAGACCAGCTCAGTTAGAGTAACACCAGGTTTCTCTTTGAGCTTGTATTTCCAACAGCTCTGTACTCTGGCTAGGTGAGACATTAATGAGAAACGCAATGGTGATATTAGTCACATCCATTTCATTTGACAGCAGTTAGGGCCTGAAAAAATGGAGAAAACAAATGAGTGTCCCTTAGAAAATCTCATATGTATATATATATATATATATATGCATATACTCATTAGGAAGTGAGAGTAACAGGATTGGCAGTTTCAGTACATGGAGAGTATAGATTTTGGGGGAGAGAGTGGCTTCAGTAGCTCTTGATGGTGAGCAAACAGAAAAGTGGAAAATGAAGTTCCTACTGTCTTTGACTCAGTTTTCCCATTCTGTACCTGATGTGCAGAGAATTCAGACCTTGATGAGGTTGCAGGCTCTGAAGTCTAGGTTCTTATCAGTATACACTTGGTGAGGCTGTGTATGTTGGGAATGCACCCCTGGTCTGATCTTTAGGACCCAGAACCCCACAGTGCTCTGGTGACACCTGGGAGGAAGGAATGGTTATCATACAAGGATGCTTTCTTGTGTAGACTGGTTAGAACTGGAGCCTCTGCTGTCCTGGATACTTCCTGGCACACAGAGTATTCAAGTTCCAGAAGGGTTTCCTTCGTCTGGAGGTCTGAAAGGGTTTCTGCTGCACATTATGAGTGAGTAGACCCTGCCAACCTCCAGCATCTCCATTCCAGATGGGATGGACGAAATCGACCAGTGCTGGGTACATCCTCCAAAACGGTTTTGTGGGAAAAGGTGCACAAGGGTGTACGAATGCGTGACACCAAACCACACGTGCTGCTGGACATACTGCGGGAACATCTGCTTGGACAACGGGTGAGCGCCTGGGGGTGAGAAGGTGAGGGTGTGGGCATGTCAGCTCTGCTCCTCACACACCATTCAACTGCTATTTAGAGGTTGCAGGAAATGGCAGTCATCTGATTCCAGTCGCAGAAACACTCAGATAAAGCATGAACCTCCTGTCTCAAATCCAGGTTACGTTCACAGAGATAAGACACTGACACGGGGTCAGTTCTGTTTCTCTTCCACACTCTCCTTCAGTTTCTTAGCTTCTCGTACAACATCACCCAATATGTCCCTCCTTTGTCCAAAAGACCCAATTACTGCTCCTCTTTCATCAGCCAGACCCTAGAAGAACTTGTCCTCACCTGTCTTCTCAATCAGCAAACTATTGGGGAAATAAAATTTATTTATTTAGTGTATGCAGACTCACATGTGACACAGTGTGTGTGTGTGTGTGTGTGTGCTGCATGCATGCATGCATGTGTAGAGGTCAGAGGACAACTTGTGAGAAGCAGTTCTCTTCTACAGTCTTGGTCCTTGGGATTGAACTTGGGTCAGGCTTGGTGACATGTACTCTTATCTGCTGAGCTGTCTTGGTGGCTTAGAAAGTTGATTTCTGAGGGCAACCCCTAATGTAACAGAGAATTTCTGTCATTTTCAGGAGCTTGGGTGTTGTTTGGATATGGATTTATTCCCAGGGATACTGATGTCTAATGATCTACTTTGTCTCTTCCAGAGAACCCTTTAAAACACTGATGAAACTCTAGTTTCTATGTGGCCCATCGCTGGTGTGGATTGGGGCATGGCTGTGTCTGAGAGGAACGCTGCCTGATCTCCTATTGGGTCACTCAGTTCATCTGGGACCCTTCTGCTCCCTTCTTGATGCCTTCCCTCAGAGAAAGTCCAAGATTTTGTCAAATAAACGGATGCATCAGCACGAGGCTCTGTGGGAAAGCCTTAACAGTTGCTGCTGTACCACCGCTGACACAGACACAATTCTGACTTCCCTGTGTATTAACCAAATACAAAATACAAACAGGTTTATACAAATTCCATGGAGTTGTCAAGCATGGTGGTGTACACTTGTAGTCCCAGCACTTGGAGTCTTTGGCAGGAAGATTGTGCATTCAAGGTCACAATTGTTAATAACAACAAATTCATATAACTAACAAATTAAGTCAACTAACATTCATAATACATTTTTCCAGTGTAGTCAGTGGACAGTCATGTATGCTATCCTTTAAAGATCTCCCATCTGTAGCTGTCACCTCCCAGGACCTCACCTGATGGTTCTCTGCCTGCAGATAGGAGAAGTAACATCGTAGGGGGATTCATAAGAAGCTTTTTTTGTTGTTGTTTTTTTGTTTTGCGAGACAGGGTTTCTCTGTGTTGTTTTGGAGGCTATCCGTCCAGCCCTGCCTCGAACTCACAGAAATCTGCCTGCCTCTGCTTCCCGAGTGCTGGGATTAAAGGCGTGTGCCACCACCGCCCGGCCATAAGAAGTTTTTATATGGCACAAATTCTATTTGGTCATAATAATAAAAACCTAGAAACAGATACTGTGGTGAAAGCTGAAGATAGAGAAGCAGAGCAGCCAGTCACTAGAAAGTTCTCACCTCTACCCATGGTCAGACAGAAGGGCAGATCCTGTCCTCAGACCACTCCTGGTTGTACTGTTCCTCAGACTGCATGGAGCTGCTGTCTCCTCCTGCCTTATATTCCTCTCTAGTGCTGGGAATAAAGGCGTGGGATCCCAAGTGCTGAGACCACCTTTGTGTATCTCTGTTTTTCTTTTAGACTGGATCAATGAACGAATGGATAAATAAATAAACAAATGGTTTTAAGGAGAAGGAGGCTGGAGAGGTGGCTCTGCAGTTAAGAGCACTGGTTGCTCTTTCAGAGGAACCACGTTGTTTCCAGCACCCATGTCAGGCAGCTCATAACTGCTTGTAACTCTGGATCCAGGGGACCCAACGTCTTTGAGTGGACATCTGCACTTGTGTGCAGTTGCTATAGTATGTGCAATCGTGTGTATGTCTGTGCATGTGCTCGCGCGCACGCGCGTGCATGTGAGTGTGTGTGTGTGTAGACCAGAAGCTGACATCTGGTGTATTTTCTTGATCGCTCCCCACCTTTATTTTCTGAGACAGACCCTCAGTGAACCCAAAGTGCATTGATGCAGCTGGACTGGAGTGAGTTTCAGGAATCTGGCTGTCTCCACTTCCCATTTTATGTCATGCCTGGTTTTTCTCCCTTGAGTTCTGGGGATCTGGTCTCAGGGATTCAAGTTTCTACAGCAGGCACTTGACAGGCAGAGTCATCTTTCCAGCCTGAAACGGGAGCAACATGGCCTGCGAGATGACATTTGGTTAACTCTTGGAAGCAGTTAGGGTTTTCACAAAAGGAGTGCTGCTGATATCCAGTGAGTGGAAGCCAGTGATGCCTCGGAACTTTCTGCATTGCAAGCGTCAACTTCACAGCAATGTTGTCTGGCCGAAGAACTCATTGTGCTGGAGGTTGAGAAACCCTGATCTGTATACCCAAACCAAATAAACCAGTTTAAAATGAAAAGCCAAGTGTGGCGGGATGTGCCTACCATATCAGCTTTGCTGGTAAACTCAAGGCCAGCCGGGGTACTTATCGACAGCCTGTCTCAAAAGAAAGTAAAAATGGCTAAAGATGTATCTTAGTGAAGACTCTCCTAACATTGGAGAGAGGCCCTGGGTCTAATCCTCAATAATATAAATAAATAAAAAGAAGTAAAGGAGTAAAAAAATGTAGGAAATATTAAGCACACAAACCTTTAGAGAGATAATAACTTTCTATATTATTTAATAACCTATTTAGATGACATGGTGGATGTCATATTAGCATTTTACATGTTGGAGACCCCCCAATCCTCATAGCATGACACCAAAGAATTTTGGTTGTTCCTACTTTCCCCCCTAGTTTGAAACACTACCAAACTTTTGGAAAAGTTGTAAACATAATACAGAGAACTTTTTTGGGGGGAAGCATTGACAGTTTCCAGAATAATACCCCATGATCTCAAGTCATTAGTGGTTTCCCCGCCACCCCCCCACACATTAGAACATACTTTTTTGATATGGCCACAATTCGCCTGTCAGCAAATTGCAATCCTGGGCCCTACCCAGTTTTGCCAGTTTCACAATGATGGCTTACATAGAGAATTATGCATGGCACATAGTTGTCATGCCTCCTTATTCTGGGTTTGTCTGATTTATTCCCCTTATGATTAGGTTTGAGTTTCAATGTAGATGGGACCATTGAAGAAGTGACCCCATTGCATCCTGGTAGTTGTCCCTTGGTTTCAACTTGTCCCTTTACCAATCATCTCATTGCCCGTTTACCATTAGTCTTTATTCTTTTCTGTTGTTGTAGCTCACTATCCCAGACGAAGTGATTCATTCGTAAGGCATAGAGGTTTCTTTGGCTCATGGTTCTGGAGGCGATGACTTCCAAAAGCATTGTGCTGGCTTCTTCTTCTTCTTCTTCTTCTTCTTCTTCTTCTTCTTCTTCTTCTTCTTCTTCTTCTTCTTCTTCTTCTTCTTCTTCTTCTTCTTCCTCCTCCCCTCCTTCTTCTTCCTCCTCCTCCTCCTCCTTCTCTTCTTCTTCTTCCTCCTCCTTCTTCTCTTCTTCCTCCTCCTCCTCATTTTCCTCTTCCTCCTCCCCCTCCCCTTTCTCCTCCTCCTCATTCTTTTTAACATTTTTTATTTAAATTAGAAATGATCTTATTCTGCATATCAATCCCAGTTCCCTCTCCCTCCCATGCCCACTGCAGACCCCCCCCACCCGCCCATCCCATCTCCCATCCACTCCCCAGGGAGGCTGAGGCCTCCCATGAGAGATCATCCAAATCTGTCTAGTCATTTGGGACAGGTCCTAGGCCCTCCCCTGTGTATCTAGACTAAGAGAGTATCCCTCCATGGGAAATGGGCTCCCAAAGTCCATTCGTGTCCTAGGGCTGCATCCTGGTTCAACTGCTCAAGGCTCCATAGATTTCCCAGTGCTCCTATCTGATACCCACCTTAAGGGGCCTGGTTTAGTCCTAAGTTGGTCCCCCAGCTATCAGACTGGGGTCCATGAGTTCCCACTTTCTCAGATCAGCTGTTTCTGTGGGTTTTCCCAGTGTGGTCTCGACGCCTTTGTTCATCACTCCTCCCTCTCTGCAACTGGATTCAGGAGTTTGGCTCAGTGCTTGACTGTTGTTCTCTGCTTCTGCTTCCATCAGGTACTGGATGAAGGCTCTAGGATGGCATTTAAGGTAGTCATCATTCTCATTATAGGGAAGGGCATTTAAGGTAGCCTCTCCACTATTGCTTAGGCTCCTAGTTGGGGTCATCCTTGTGGATCTCTGTATAATTCCATAGTGCCAGATTTCTCTTTAAACCTACAGTGGCTCCTCTATTGATGTGTCTCTTTTCTTGTTCTCCTCTATTCCTCTTCCCACTATGTCTTCCTGATCCCTCATGTTCTCCTCCCCTCTCCTCTTCTCCCTCCTCTTTCTTCTACCTCCGTTCCCCTCCACCCATGATCCCAATGTGTTCAGAGTGTCTTGTCTTTTCCACTTCACTGGAGGATTGTGTATGTCTCTCTTAGGGTCCTCCTTGTTTCCTTGCTTCTCTGGAGGTGTGGATTGTAGGCTGGTAATCCTTTGCTCTATGTCTAATATCCATGTATGAGAGAGTACATGCCATGTTTGTCTTTCTGTGACTGGGTTACCTCACTTAGGATGGTTTCTTCTACTTCCATCCGTTGCCTGAAATTTTCAATATTCCATTTTTTTCGGCTGAGTAGTAATTCATTGTGCAAATGTAACACATTTTCTGTATCCATTCTTCAGTTGAGGGGCACCTAGGTTGCTTCCAGGTTCTGGCTATTACAAATAACGCTGCTATGAATGTTGTATGAATGTGCATATTTTGGGTATATGCCTAAGAGTGGAATTGCTGGATCCTGAGGTAGACTGGTTCCCATACTGTTTTGCAAAGTGGCTGTACAAGTTTGCACTCCCACCAGCAGTAGAGGAGTGTTCAGCTTTCTCCACATCTTCTCCAGCATAAACTGTCATTAGCCATTCAAATTGATGTAAGATGGTATCTCAGCGTTGTTTTGATTTGCATTTCCCTGATGGCTAAGGATGTTGAGCAATTTCTTAAGTGTCTTTCAGCCATTTTAGATCCTCCATTGAGAATTCTGTTTAGTTCTGTACCCCACTTTTTAATTGAATTATTTGGTGTTTTGGAGACTTGCTTCTTGAGTTCTTTGTATATTTTGGAGATCAGCCCTCTGTCTGATGTGGGGTTGGTGAAGATCTTTTCCCATTCTGTGAGTTGCCTTTTTGTCTTGCTGACTGTGTCTTTTGCCATAAAGAAGCTTCTCAGTTTCAGGAGGTCCCATTAATTAATTGTTGATCTCAGTGTCTGTGCTACTGGTGTTATGTTCAGGAAGTGGTCTCCTATGCCAATTTGTTTAAGGGTCCCTCCCAATTTCTCTTCTAAGAGGTTTAGTGTGGCTGGATTTATATTGAGGTTTGATCCATTTGAACTTACGTTTCACGCGTGGCGATAGACATGGATCTACCTGCAGTCCTCTACATGTCTGCATCCAATTATGTGCTGGCAACTTCTTGGCAGGTTTCTTGGTGTGTTAAATCATCAGAGGCTGGGAAAGGCCCACGTAAAATCGTGCTTTCTGAACATGTTGGCCTTTGTGGTCAGCACTCTATCATGCAGAGTGAAGGAATTCACAAGCCCCCATCCCTAACAGAGGAGCCACGGGTGGTTTCTTAAGGGTCAATAGTGCTCCAGGGGATGGTCCCACACCCAGGTGATATGAGCAGCTCAAATGGGCTTGAATGATCATGGGAAAAGAAGAAGAGGACGTGTCGTGTGTGTGTGTGTGTGTGTGTGTGTGTGTGTGTAGGGAGGTAGGGTGGATCTGGGAGTAGCTAGTGGAGGAATTGGGGGTAAATATGATCAAAATAATTTTTATGAAATTCTAGAAGAAGTAATGAAGGTATTTTTTTCAAGCACATGGATGGGCATCACTTGGTGAGATGTAACAGGCAAGGTAGTTCAGGCCTGGTTTTCTTTCCTTAGAGAACTGTGGACTCCATCACAGGTGCCACGTTATCCTTTCCCCTGAGCTTGTCTATACCCTTTCTACAGCAAACTCACTTTCTACTCATTTGAGGGTTTGCATGAATACAGACTCAGGACTTGACTTTATTCCCAGTCCTGGGGACTAAACCTGACTCCTGGTGCCTACATGGGCATGTCCACTGGGTAAAAATTAAGTTAGGGTCTGTGTGTATGTGTGTGTGTGTGTGTGTGTGTGTGTGTGTGTGTGTGTGTGTGTGTGTCTGTGTGTGTGTTTTACGCAACAAAAAATAGGAGGCATTTGCCAAAAGAATCTTATTGCAGAAAATAAATCTCTGATTAAATGACAAATATTGGAAACAGTAGGTGTAATATGATGATAGTTTAGTAAAAATTCATTAGATATAGGTGAAGGAGCTCTGCATTTTGATAGAGTAGAAACCCTGTACCTCTGGCCTCTAAATATTGCCAGCACTTGTCCCTAGGTAACAATAACTAAGCCTCTAATTTCCCT